GTAGTATATTTGGAAGCAACATTGCTCTCCCATCCCCTTAAATTAAATCTGCCTCTCGACATAAGACTTTTGGCCTTTTGAATTAAATCCTCTTGTTTCCTCAATATTGTAAACACCCGTAATACAATTATCTACATAGAACGAATTTTTTAATTTGTCAGCCACACATCTAAAAAGTCAGATGGACAATTATTCAAGAGATATTTAATAGACGCACCTAGTAGATAAGGGCTGCAGGAAACCCCAAAAAACTACTCTGCAGTGCCTATACACTATTTCTCCCTCATCACTTGGATAGAAAAATCGCAAGTAATCTCTATCCTTCGGAGAAATTCCTAACTGCAAGAATGCTTTCTCTATGTCTGCACTCAGACCAATAGGAAAAAATCTCATTCTGTCTAAAATATCAGGGACTAATTCTATTAAATTAGGTCCTTTCAATAAACACTGATTCAAAGATGGTTTTCCCTTTTCACAAGATGAAGCATCAAAAACGGGTCTTACCTTAGTGCTTTCACTATTCATCTTAATAACCGGTCTGTGTGGTAAAAAGTGGCATTTATTGTTTAATTCCTTTTCCGGAACCTTTTCTATAATATTTAAATTTTCCCACTCTCTAAACACTTCTTGATATTCCTTCAAAGAATTATTTTCTTTTGCCCTCTTTATCATTTTTTGATGACGTGTCAAAGCAATGCTTTTATTATCTGATAAATTGGTAGATTCGCATTTCCAGGGTAATTCTAATTCATATCTACCATCGGGCCGAATAGATAATTTATTCTGAAAATCAATCTCGTAGTCGCAATGAAGATTTTTCGTTTTACTATTTTCCGTCGGGTCGGAAATACCCAAAACTTCAAGCTCCCATAAAGATTTCAAAGAAGCATTATTTACATGCAAGGAAAGACTTATTAGGGCATTATCCCTGACAGTATCATTTTCTTTACCCATAACCGTCCAACCCAGTTTTGTTTTGACTGCAGTTAAACCAGAGGGTAATTCTAGGTATTCGTCAGTTAACAGTTTACCAATGACATCTGCACCTATCAATAAATCAATTTCACTTTCCTCGCAAAATGTGTCACTGACCTCAATTTTCCTGCTTTTCAATTCCTCTATAATCTGAGCATTCTTGATTGTTGGAACAAATCCACATATCTTTTTTTCAGAAAAAGCTTCAAAACAACACCTAAAAGTGTTATCTAAACTGCTTATGTCAATAGCAAAAACAGAATGGGTTACAGGCGCAGTTTCCCTCCCCCCAAACAAACCATGAATTACTTTCTCCTGTCGAATAGGATCAGCCTTCATTCGCTTCATAATTTTCTCCCCAACGTATGATCGTTGGGATCCCGAATCCAAGAGAATCCTAATTTTTCTCTCTCGATCTTTAACTTTAATTAGAACACATAAAGTTTGCAAATAAACTTTCTCGCTCTTACTATTATTAGAAAGGGAAACATCCAACTTAGAGTCATTTTGTTTTACAGAACTAACATTCTGAGGACACATAAATTTTATATGATCACAACTGCAAATGGGGCATTTAATATTGGCTTTACATTGGTTTTTTAAATGGCCAATTCTTAAACATGAAAAACAAACACCCTTTCTTTTGTACAAGTTGCCTCTTTTCATTTAAGCTCATATTTTCAGCTTTAAAACACTTAGCACTCATATGAGGCTTACCACAAAATATACAAACACATTTGCTTACCTTTACTGGTTTCATTTGTACTTACCAGCGCGGCAGCTGTTGCTAAATCTGAATTACCTGAAATAACATTTTTATTAAGACGCTTAACAGAATGAGTAAATCCTGATTGTGCTAATCTAATCATTTCTTCCGATTCTACTTCATGCCTTAAAAAACACATTAGTTTTTCAAGCGTTCTTTCAGAACTCTTTTCCTGTCCTTGTTCAGAAGTTCGACTCCGCTCCCAGGCACGTAAAATATTCTCAGGTAGGCACGACTCCACTAAAGGTCCCAAGAAATCAGCAAACTTTTCCTTGGTGCGTCCTAAGCTTTCCAGCGCTCGTAATTTACTTTCTATACTATCATAAAGTACTCCTAAGTCCGACGCCGTTCTGCCTGTTGTAGCATTCTTTGTAACAAGCCCAAGCAAATCTCTTACATAGATCTGCACCAGAAGGTCTTCTCTACCAAATCTTTCTTTCAGCTGCTCGATAGCTTTAGGATAATTCGCGGCGGTAACAGGAAAACTGTTCAAAAGTTGAGCTGCCTTTGAGCCAGGTACTGCACTTTGCACTAAGTACAAAAATTTATCTTCCGGCACAATATCCGCATCTTCATGAATTTTGGAGAATTGGCTCCAAAAGCCTAAAAATTCTCTTGCATCTCCAGAAAATTTTTTCAGTTCAAGTTTAGGAAGTTTGAACTTCCTGTTTTATTTTCTTTAGGATCCGAAATCGAAAGTGAAGCAATATCTGTAGTAACATTCATCGAATTCAATTGTCCAATTTTATTCTGAAGTTTCACCTTTAAAGCTATAAAGGAATCTCTGTATCCTTCAGCCGTATTAAATTCATTCTCGAAATCAGCTTCCTTGGTTTGTTCTAAAACACACTGCTTTGAGTACTGTCCAAGCGTTCAAATTTGTCAATTAGTTGCCCCAACAACACTTGCAATCTCTCAGGATCCGTACAAGTAGGCAATTCTTCTTCCACAATCTTCGTAGTTAACGTAAACGAAGTACGTTCACTTTTACGTTTTGCCTTTAACAACTCCATTTTAACAAAACGCCTAAATCAAAACTACTCGAAATCACACAAACGTCCTGTCAAACGGACGCCAAACTTTTATGTTGAAACTAAATAACGTTTGCATAATCCGAGTTCAGAAAACAAAACATTTATTTTACATATTTTAAAGAAATAACGTTCTGAAACAACATGTTTCATCTACACAATCAATCGACGCTCTCACCAGAGCATTACGCCATCAAACTTGGCACACATCCAAAAGTTCAAATTGAAGAATTACAGAAGCGTTGTTGCCACACAAGAAAAGACATATAGTTACAACTTCACACAATAATAAAACAAAAACACACTTTTGAAAATAGACAATAATAATAAAAAATAGTAATAATAAAATTCTTAACAATATTTTCTCGATTATGCAACACTCTATTTCTAACGAAAGGCAATCTTTACGAAATCATTTCAATCATAGTGCACAACTGCAGTCATAAAATAATTTACATCAATAGTCTTCCAACTTTATGGACTCAAAGAACTCATAAAATTCCATTTTTTGTGGAACCTTCTCCAAATATATTATTGAATTAGGTATTTTAAATGCTTACCAGTTATTTGACATCAAAAAGTTTTAAATGCTTACCAGTTATTTGACATCAAATTCTTCGGTATTTTAATTTTATATGTACAGTTTCCTTTCACAAAAATTTGGTGCATTCCCTATTTCTACCGAAAGGCAATCTTTACGAAATCCTTTCAATCATAGTGCACAACTGCAGTCATAAAATAGTTTACATCAATAGTCTTCCAACTTTATGGACTCAAAGAACTCATAAAATTCCATTTTTTGTGGAACCTTCTCCAAATATATTATTGAATTAGGTATTTTAAATGCTTACCAGTTATTTGGCATTAAAAAATTCTTCGGTATTTTGATTTTGAATGAGGATCCCTAGACGAGTAGCATGATACACCAGGGTCCACTGAACATAGGTTGAAGACTACTGATCTGAAAACATCAGGGATCTAAATCCATATTATTAAAGTATTGTTACGAATTTGGTATTTAAAAAGCTAATGTTAGTTCAGTTATAAATTAAATGGTTTTATTTCTCGCGCAGTGCAGCGCATGACGAATATTAAAAGAAAGCTAAGCCGGAAAATTGAAAATACAAGAGTGCGTGCATTAAATAAATAAATATCTCTTTTTGATTTCGAGAAAGTACTGGAAAATTCTAGCGCGTGATTTTAAAATCTTATAAAAGGAGGAAAACATCTCAGTTTGTAGTAGTTGCTTAGTTTGTTGTTGTTTAGAAAACTGCTCTTGTTGATTGTAGCGAATTCGCGGATTAGCTTTCTTTAGCTGTTTTGAATTACGTTCTATTGGACATTTGAGTAGTTAAAAGATTACTACTGTGAGATATTGTAATACTTCATGATAATTTGAGAAAATTTAAGCATTATTGTTGTGATAATAATAAATTTTTGTTGCAACAGTATTTTCTAGCCCATAAATGCATCAAAACTAGCTAGGATAATCCCCATGTACATAGATTCTATTGCACACTAATAAATAGTAGTCCCAGTTATCTGCTATTATGTCATTCATGAATGCAATGTGGTGACGAACTTAAATACTACATGGTCAATTAGTGTTGCTTTCATAATAAGACAGAAATTTAGGAACACTTAATTAGTTATATTGTCTGACCCATAGTTATGTTACGTTATGTAGAAGTGAGGGTGGCCATCTAATATTTACCCTAAGCAAGTAGGTAGTAAGTACACACTAACTAGAAAACTAACAACATTCTGGCATCATTTTTTCCTCGAATCGTAATGGAAATTGTGACTCCAGCGAGCACTACAAGTACTGCCACCGGCGGCGGCATCAATGGTACTCCTACTTTTCAGCGTTAAATTAGCGCAAGTAAAAGGGATTAAATTACATGATATGCACTGCGATATACATAGTTGTGCAGGTGAATATTTTAAGATGTTATCTATCGTAGTGGATACAGGCAACGTGTTTCAGGACTAGATGAAAATTAAGAAATACTTATTATTTCGGTCTTACAACGTGTATTAGAAATGGCCAATCCAACTAACGTCCATATCATGTCCTGCACATTTCATTTAATGGTTAATGACGTCAAAATATTTTTTGTTTGATATCATCTCTGAAAATATAACCTAACGAGTCATAAATGAGACATTTTAACTGAGTTTATGTCTTCCTTTTGTTGAAGGGTATTGTATTTGTTTTCTTCAATCAGGCTTGCCGAGAAGTACCAACACTCCGGACGTATTTCATCTCGAAACACGGGTAGGAGGACGGCATCAGATTCCAAACACGCTTCTCCCCTCTCACCCAGGAGCGGACACACTTCCCGAATCGAAGACACGTCTCATCCCTCGACGAGAGAACGCAAGGTAAATCTCTTAATTAAAGTATTCTTAATATTATACGCCCACTGAAAAGTTACAAGCTTCCTTTACTATAAGGGCCAAAACAGTAGGGGAGTCGTTAAGATTGCTGAATACAAGAGGTTCGATCCTGTGCGAACAATCTGGCTCCACGGTTGGTTTCCCATGCATTACGTGAATACGAGCCAGTTTCCTTTAGAAAGTCTGTAAGATATTTTATGTTAGTTAATCCATTTTCTTAGATTTGGAACAGAAATGTCACTTCGTTTCCTTAGCTTCCACCGGAATATAAAGTTTAAATAACCTTTTTATTTGAACTTAACAGAAATGCACTCCCTCGGTGCTCACAGTTTGGTTAAATAACTTAACAGAAAATAAAAAATGTACAGTCACAATAAAAATAAAGATTAGCTACACGACTGAATTCTTTATTTAACCCGCTAAATCCGCTGCACGAAGCAAAGCCGAGCATAGAATATCAATATAATCTAAAGCGAGGGGCTAAGCACCAACTATTCACGTAGAAAGCTACTTCAAACACGCGGTATAAATTCGGAACTAACTCTCCTTTCTCACAAACTCTTAACCAGTTAACTGTGATTGACGAGTATACTCGTCATGGACAAGCGGGACGATTTTGTGTATTGACGAGTATACTCGTCATGCGTATATTATATTAATGAAAGGGGAAAATAAGAGGGAGGTTTATTTAGTAAGCACTGTATATAATGACAACGTAATAGAAACAGAGAAAAGAAAAATAATAACAAAGAAACCGAAGCTAGTGATTGATTATACCAAAAAAATGGGTGGAGTGGATATGAGCGATGGAATTATCATAGCGTACTCCACAGCAAGAAAACGACTCAAAAAGTTCTACAAAAAGATATTTCTCCATTTCTCAGACATTATGTGTCTGAAGGCATTCATATTATATATAAATAATAATAATAATAACGGAACATTATCGCATATCAACTCTTTGCTCACATTTATGGAAGACGCTTTTGCGACGTATCCAATTGAAAGAAATAAATCGACACAAACTCGGCCGTTTAGACCTAATATAAGCCAATTAGGCGGGAAACATGTTCCGGGTTTTATATACCCGGAAACATCGGGGGGGGGAAAAAAACAACCCTACGCGAAGGTGTTCACATTGCTACAAAGGTAAGATCAGGAAGGAATCGCGTTACTGGTGTTCAATTTGCAAAGTCCCATTGTGTATAGTACCCCGTTTCGCTGAATATCACTCCACAGCAGGAATTTAAATTCTTACTTTTATATGTATAATATTTAATTTAATTGATTGAATTTTTAGTTTAATATGTATGTAATTTATGCTTATGTTAACCAAATAAGTAAATATCAGTAATAGACTTTTCAATTTTATAAAATAAACCCATCTTTTTCATCTAATATCTTACCAGCGCATCTTACTCTGTGATTGACGAATATACTCGTCATGGCTCGATTCTGGCGCACAAAACGGTGAGCTTTCTTAAACGACAGTGCCACAGTTAACTGGTTAAAACCTTTGCTTAAATATTGATTTCGAACCCATTTAGATTTGCATGCACGTCATTACTATTACATTCTGGCTGGAAACTAAAATCAGAAAGGAAAGGAAAGTTTCCTGAAACTAAAAATAATTGGTTAGAATAAAATAGTCTTTAAACTGTAAGATTTATCATAAGTTTTTAGCACTTACCTTTAGTTAAAAGCTACTTTCCTGTCCCTCCTAATTTCAGCTTATAATTTTCTACCAGCATGCGTTTTTAGAATCGGGTTTAATGCAAATGAGTAAGAACAGTATTTAAGTCGAAGTTCCACTGACTTTGGGAGAGAGCCTCAGAGTTTCTGACTAGCTCCGGTTCGTCTTTTGGCTACGTCTCTCTCTAAGCTATTACTACGCTTGGTTGTATTTCAGGCCCATGATAGCTTGCTAGCTTATATATTTAGGGGCCAACTACTTAGAATTCTGATAACCTCGGCTATATCTTTTTAGTTAAGTATTATCTGAAGAGCACTGCTATCGTAATATACTGTAAAGTGCCTTGGCCAAGAAATAAGTAGCAACGAATTTGCTGTACGGTTTTGTTTCTTGTTTTTACCATATGTACACTGCGCAAAAAAAAGGGGGGCAGTTTTATCTCCCGTTCTATTTGGCCGATTGACAAAATTCAAATTGCGTTCTTCTTGTTTTGAAAGCGCGACTTAGGATATATATTAGATTTATATATAGCATTGTTCTAACATAGGTATTTTGACACGAAATCTGACTTTTTCTGAAATGGCATACCAATGTTTTTTCATATTTCGGTTCTACTACTCAAATTATGCCTAGATATTAAATTTTGTAAGATTTGGTGCGAAATTTACGCAGAAATTTATCTTTCAAAAATTTATCTTGGCGAATTTTTTTCAGTTTGGGCCAAGAATAATGCACTTGGCGAACTTCTTAATATATGGCAACCAATTTTCCTTTCCCTTCCATTATGCCGGAGCGGAAAAAGAAAAAGCGCCTCGTTCCTACCTTTTCACATTATGCATGAGCGAAAAAAAAAGTTAACTTCATTTCTACTTTCAAATGATTTTAGCAAAATATCTGAGCCACACCTGATGTTTTATCGCTTTCAACAAATATGCCAAATTTCATAAAGCACCAGTGTATAGAATCACGTACAGTGTCTCACAAAAGTGATGGGACACTTGTGCTTTACAAAAGGAAACTGTAATAAAATAAATTAAAAACACATGTAAAAATTTTTTGTGGGTGTCTTTCATACTTAAATTTAGTAACAATTATTACATAACATACATTTTCTCAAAATATTAAAATATTAATTTAATAAAATAACAATTGTTTAAAACGGAGCAAAAAATGGCTCACATAAGTGATGGGACACCATTAGATACTACTACGTACTACAATAAAATATTTTTGGGGGTTTTTATTTTTACTCAAAAGCAATTGGCAATAATTTATAAAATCGCCTGCAGTATTTCTCTCCAGTTTGTTTTGGAATTTTTGTGTTTTTTAGCTCTGTGCAGCCATGAATGCTAAACGAAAAGAAACTTTGCCTGAAATTCGAAAATTAGCTATTAATTTGCATATTGAACGGGGAAAATCTGTTAGAGAAACTGCTGAAACAGTTAACATGAGTCATTCAACAGTTTTCACACATATTCAACATTTTGACAAAAAATATTAGAACAATGCTGTATATAAATCTAATACATATCTTAAGTCGCGCTTTCGATACATGAAAAACGGGAGTTGAATTTCGTCAATGGGCGCAGTAGAACGAAAGATATAGAACTGTCCCCCCTTTTTTGGCGTAGTGTACACTGCTTTGTATTTACAAATTTATGTACATTGTTTTATGCTTTTCATACACCCGACACTTGATCATTAATGCTGTTTTCGTATTTTTCCGCATTTGCTATTTAAGAAGCAGAAGTCGGAGCAGATGTTACTTCTGCCCACTCTCGAAGTGAACGGTCACGGGTTGCGACAGGAACTTCACGGCAGTCGAAATCTAGGCCTAGAGGCAATAAAATGTAAAACCAACAGATCTGTGAACTTGCCTCCCATACCTGGCAAATCTAGGAAGAAAAAGGTGAGTATTAGTTATGTTCGGTACGTACAAGGCAAACGAAAAGAATGTCTACAGACTTTTGTTTCCTAACTTATTAGTTTTAAAGGTGCTTGCAGCAGAACTCCGGTTATTCGAACTTCTGATACCCATATTATTTTATTTTTATTTATTTTTTATTTTTATTGTTATATATTGTATATATATATTGTACAAGTAAAAATTAAACTGGTAGTTAATTTATTTGTTGCTTTTAGTTTTTTTATATTGCAGTAATAAAAAAAGGAATATGCTTATTCTGTTTAAAAAAGAATAAATTTATTTAAATGGATATATACGGTATGTGGACTGTAATATATTTCCCGAAAATAATTAATTTCCTTAGAGGAATATCTACGGCATGTGGAATTAATATGTATTGCATTATTCATTTTATTAGTATGTAGGGCTTATATTTATTTTAACTAACATTTATTTTAAGCTATTTTTCCTGTCAAGCCTTTACTTCCCCCTAGAATTGCCAATGTCAGAGTATGTAAATCGTAGTAGAACGCGCAGAGTATTCAAATTTTTAGCAGAAGTAAATTGAGTTAAATAGAAGGGAAACGCGATTGTTAGTGTGCTTCTTGAATCACGAGCGTGAAGGTTGCTAGGTAGAAATTTAAGAACCGCGCGTTTCGGCCTGTGTGCCTATTTCGGCAGTTCGTTGAATCTTCAACTTCTTAATCAGTAAATTTGCTGAATCTCAGCTGTATCCTAGAACGCGGTTAAGTTAGTTACGATTATAGAGCCTCGTAGATAGTGATCTTCGTTATTTATTCATCCTGTCATTTATTTTTAGTTGTACTTTGCTATTTTGTTACAACCGCCTGGGTCGGTGTAGTTTGCGAGCGTCAAGTGAACGCAACTGTGATTTCTAAAGTGGAATAAAAGGGGATTTAAACCCTTCTTACGAGTTTGTGTACGTTACAGTTCATAGCAATCACTACTATTGTTGCTGACCAGTTGGGGCCACAACATCATAAGTATAAGATCTTATTTAATTCGTTCAGGATCTTATTACAGTAATAAAAAATGGAATATGCTTTTTCTTTTAAAAAAGAATAAATTTATTTAAATGGATATATACGGTATGTGGACTGTAATATATTTCCCGAAAATAATTAATTTCCTTAGAGGAATATCTACGGCATGTGGAATTAATATGTATTGCATTATTCATTTTATTAGTATAAGATTTTATTTCATTCGTTAAGGATGTTATTACAGTAATAAAAATTGGAATATGCTTATTCTGTTTAAAAAAAAGAATAAATTTATTTATTTAAATTGATATATACGGCATGTGAACTGTAATATATTTCCGGAAGATAATTAATTTCCTTAGAGGAATACACTGACTACCAATAAGTATTTGGACACCTGTGATAGAAAAGAAAAACTAACTTTATTCAAAATTAATAGTTGGTAGAGCCTCCACGAGAGGTAATTACAGCGTGGACACTCCGGGGCATACTTTCCACAAGTCTTTGTATGATAGTTACTGGTATTTTCTTCCACTCGGCTTGGAGAAGACAGAGAAGTTCCTTCACCGATTTTGCATGGGTAGTGCACCCCTGAATTCGGGGATGCAACTCGTCCCAGAGGTTCTCGATAGGGTTCAGGTCTGGACTCTGGGCAGGCCAGTCCATTCGATAAACTTCATTGGCACCATACCAACCTTTGGTTAACGTCGAAACATGACAGCTGACAATGTCGTCCTGAAAGTAACAGGGGTCCAACCCGTAAAACTGCCACAACGTAGGAAGCACATTGTCATCTAAACTAGTGCAGTAGGCATCGGAGTTGAGCTTACCATGAATGGGGGCCAAGGGTCGCAGCCCATACCAGGAGAAACACCCCCAGACCATAATTCCACCTCCGCCGAACTTGACTGTTGGCACAATGCATTCAGGCAGGAGACGTTCTCCAGGTAGACGCCAGACACAGACCCTGCCGTTCGAACAGTAAAGGGTGAACCTTGATTCGTCACTCCAAAGAACCCGTTTCCGCTGATCTACGGTCCAATTTTGATGTGCTTTGCACCACATTAACCGAGCAGCGCGGTTGGACTTTGTGATCAAAGGCTTATGGGCAGCAGCACGACCATGAAAACCAAACAGATGTGCTTAATTACGGATGGTATTCATTGAAACAATACTCCCAGATGCCTGTTGAAACTCCTCACGGATGAGGGCCATCGGTTAGGTGAGGTTCTTCCGAATTTCTCTGGACACCACTCGTCGGTCTCTATCTCCCAGTTTCGTTGGTCTGCCGACTCGGGGCACATTCCGACAATCACCGCTCACCTTCCAGTTCTTAATCACATAGGCCACTGTCGATTTTGGCTACTTCAGATCGCTAGATATGTCCCTTAAGGATCGGCCACATTTGTGATACCCGATAATTAAACTTTTCTCGAAATCAGAGAGCTCCGAACTGTGAGGCATCTTGCATGCGACTAAAGCCGATGCTGTTTCCTACACGATATATACTGGCAGAGTCCGTGACGTACCTTAGGACCGCAAATATCGTCATTTGCCTAGGTGTCCAAATACTTATTGGTAGTCAGTGTATGTACGGCATGTGGAATTAATATGTATTGCATTATTCATTTTATTAGTATAAAATCGTATTTAATTCGTTCAGGATGTTTGTGTTTATAGAGAGCAGTCTGTCATCGATTTTTTAACCTCTTCCTGATAAGCTACTGAATTAAAACTTTATACATACACTGTTTGTGATAACAATACAAAATTTTATATAGATTTCTTTTAATTTAATACTTAAACAATTTTTCACACATATCTGCTTTTAACGAACGAATTAAAAATACAGATTTTATTGTTTGCACCACTGGATAAAGCGGAAAACAGTCTTTTAAATGAAACTTCTGAAAATTTTAATTTCATTTCTGAAGTTTTGGGAAATCTTCTGCTCGATTTTTTTCGATTATTTGACGTCCATTATTTTAAAATTTCACCATCTAAAATTACATTGGAATTAAAGTTTTAAAGTTCTTTTGGTACTTTTCCGTTTTGCCGGCGCAAGCGATACAGTCGCCAATAATGGTACAACCGATGCCAAACGGAATATTCTCGCTGGTAACCTTTTACGCCTCATTTTCAAAACAAGTCTCAGCCTTTTTCTTATCAGATTGATTGTTTCTTTCAATACTGGCATATAATTACATAGAATTTTTATCAAATATTCAGTTTTATGTCTAAGGCCATTTTCGGTAATTAAGTCAATCAGGATGCAATCACAGCTCTTACCCGAAGTCGAAAATATAGAAAAGGAAAGTCAAGGGTTAAATTCATCAATTCTAATGAGAATGTATTAGTGAAGTAAAGTACTGCAGTTTTACATAATTTCTGAGTAAGCTATTCGTACGCATTGAAATATTTCTTGCATTTAAACTTGTGTTCCAAATTAAGATTTAACTTGAAATGAGTGTAGATAATTAGTGAGAGCATTAGATTTTTGTAGAGTAGTTTACGTGAGATGAGATCGCTTGGGGTCACGTGATATGAACCGGCGAATTAGGATGTTGAACCATGAAAGCATAGTAAATTGTTTAAATTAATGTCTTCTTACAAATTTATTGTCTTTATTTATTGGCTTTTTATAAAGTTTTAAGCGATATTAAAATGTTTAAGCCTTCAAAAAAAGAATTCTTAGAACTAAAATTTTTTTAATATTTTTTATATGTATACTGTATGTTGTCGCCAATAAAGTCTGCTTGGCGAGATTTGCGCCGGCGATACGGAAAAGTACCGTTCTTTTAGTTCCCATATTATTTTACGAGTTTTAAATATAAGGTTACTTTATAAAAACTTTTCTTCATTTCATTTTATTTTATTAATTTCCTACAATAAAAAATAAAATGTGTCAGTTTAAGTTTTGAACAGAACGCTAAAGAGAAATGGGTACACGTTTCGTTTAACACAAATGAAAAATAACTTTTTTTTTTTTGGCCAGAAATTAAAAGAGCAAAAATTGCTTTTTCTAATTAAAGGTTTTCTTCAATTAAAATTCATTTCATTCTTTCACTTTCTTTGAAAGAGAATTGTACTGAATCGTTAGACAAACGCAAAATAATCTCATTCCTTAATTTTGTCGAAAGCAATTCGTTTTATACAATAAAAATAAAACAAAGCTCACTTCATTAATTTTAAGTCTGCGTAATTTATAATTTATATCTTTCTTTAACTTCCGATGAAATGCAGTCGCTAAATAATATTTACTTTTTTCGTATGTTAATAGCATAAAAATACTTAAAGATTGAGCTGATTGGAAAACTTAATTCACATTAAAATTATCTATTTTTAATTTAAATTTAGTTTTTAGTTCTATCACAGCTCATCAGGAGGCAATCGTTAGGGTACATTAGTTAGCAGAGGTGAGTACATATCTTTTCAAGCAGCGAGTTCTGAAGCATTACTGGAAATACAGAACGTTTCCGAAATTCAGACGAGTTGGAGAACAAATTTTGTCGATATTCACGTATGACAGTTACGAGATTACGCGAGAAACTTCAGAAGGGAGCAATTTTCGTGTTGCCATTGTTGTGACTAATCTCGCTTGTCTGAAATTGAAGCAAACCCACGAATTCAGCGTGGCAAGGAAGCAAGATTGTGCCTTTCGTTGGCAACAGTCTTGGGCACCGTACAGGTGACAGTACGATTTTGCTTACACAGTACGACAGTACGATTACTTGGGGGTGACAGTTCCACCTCCAAGTTTGAGAGACAGCTCCTCGGGGGGAGGGTCGGAGGTCCTCTTCCCGTATCCCAAACCTCTCGAAAGGACTTTCGGCTCGCCACAAATTTAGAGTGCCTCCATGCCTCACACAGTAGGCAAAAAATATCTCGGTTATCGAAACTTTTTCAGAATAAAAATGTTATGTTGTCTGATTTACAAGTCTTGTTGTCTAAATATTTAAAGTTTTATTATACAGTGCGTATTATTATTCCATATAATTTCTTTTTAATTTCAAATTCTTTTCCAGACGAACAGAAATCATGGTCAGGACAATCACGTATCACATCTTCCACCTATCCATCAACCTTGGAGGCCTTAGCTGCGTATAACAACTTATAAAAGAAGTGCGTAAGAAGTGAATTCTGTTGAAGAAGCGGTGCTATTTATCATAACATTTATAAATACTTGCTTCTTCAGACTCTCTGATGGAAGCAGTTCTGGATACAAGCTCAGATGTATCAAATGTTCAACTTTTTACTGTGTACAAAATAAAATTGAATGTTCATGACTTGTAAATCTAGAATTCCTCATGAAATAGATTCCATTTAAACACACATTCTTTCAAAACATATTGTTGCGTGCGAACGGGTTCGTTTGAATTGAATGCACAAGTCCGATGAAAAATGGACAAAATTTTATTATTATCACAATAAAAATGCTTAAATTCCCTCAGATATTCTTTCAGTATTACAATATCTCACAGTAGTTATCTTTCAACTACTCAAAAGTTCAAGAAAAGTTAATTCAAAACAGCTAAAAGAAAGCTAATCCGCGAATTCGCTACAATCAACAAGAGCAGTTTTCTAAACAAACTCTTAAAACAACAACAAACTAACTAATCATCACTCGAACTGAAATCGAAATCGAAATCGAAATCGAGTCAATGGCTAGGCGGCAATTAGTAGCCAACCGCTACTTTAACCGTCTCTGTTGGTAAATTGCCCTAAGGCGTTGGTACTTAAGGTTTTTAATTAAGGCGATTTACGCCGCGCCAACTAGGCGAAACTTGTCAAATTTTGTGAAATGTAGGTGGGTAAGGGAGATGATTGGCAGAGCCTGTCACGTCGGGTGGGTCACCAGCTTACGCGTACAATGAGAAATATTGGAAATATTAATAATTATCAAGTTTTGAAACAGGTTCTAGATTGGAATAATTAAACTAATATCAAGATCTAAATGAAGACAAATGGCACACTAAGGCAACAGATTAGCTAAACAAAATATCAATTCATCCTTTCTGTAAAACACGGATTGGACAGTGGTAGTCACGTGGGAGTCACCCTCCCGTGAACTGTCCACAGCCCAATGCATCTTGAAATAGTAGATATCACAATTCAGTGAAGTCTTGGTCTGAGAAATTAAAAACATTAAATTTCTTGTACAACACTGAGGCACATGAGTTACTGTAAACTATACACTATGTACGTATAGGGACGGCGGTATTTGAGCCGAAGTAGCAAATGGTGAAAAACACTTTACACTAGCAATAAATAAACAGAGCTTTGAAGATCCAGGTACACGGATCATGTCCATAAGTCCACAATATTACAAGTCTCTGATATAACAATAAGAAGATTACGAAAATGACAAATATAAGATCAGTGCTTTGAAGATCCAGGTTACACGGATCATGTCCATAATCTATAAAGTTTTCAAAGACACTGGTAAAATGACACAATGAAGATAAAATAAAGATAATAGTACTATGTACAATATACAACATTTCACCATTGCTGTTATGGAATGCCTCTTGGCGCTTTGCTGCAATTCTATAGTAGGATCATAATTTTCAGATTATACGGATATGTTCGTATTGAGAAAGTTCTATTTTAGCATAGAAATTGTGGCTCGTGGTGAGAATTTGATCATCTATGGTCTTATTTTTAGTTCTTTATGTATCTGCAGGTTACTTACGAACCATGGGGAGTCAACAATTTGTCTGAGAGTTTTTGTTCTGAAAGACCTTTAGTTTGTGTCTATAAGTCTTGTACACAGTGGCCCAGATAGGCACTGCATAAAGTAGGGTGGGTCTTATTAGCTGGTATAGATCTTCTTCTTGAACTGATATTAATTTAGCATTTCTTCTTATTAAGGGTAAAGAGACATTTAGCAGCGTGGCTTTGCGCAAGGCATACTCCGTGTTTCTTTGAATAACAGCTGTGAGGTCGAAGACCACTCCTAGATACCTCGAACCTGAGAGTTTTTCCTCCTTTATAAGATTTTAAATCGCGCGCGAGAACTTTTTGGAACTTTCTCGAATTCAAAAGAGATATTTATTAAATGTTAATGCACGCGCTCTTGTATTTTTCAATTTTCCGGCTTACTTTCTTTTATATTCGTCACGCGCTGCACTGCGCGGGAAATAAAACCATTTAATTTACAATTCAACTAACGTTAATTATTTAAATGCCAAATTCGTAACAATATTTTAGTTCCAAATAACAGTCTGAAAGCTTTCAGATTTTATATTACGCCCAAAAGTGGCGTTTATTTAGCGTTTTGTATGCTACCTTTATTTATTAAATATCATGTTCTTTGCATTTAAACCCTAAAATTAAATTCAACAGCAATGCCACAAATAATTTTTAGGAAAGCATATTTTTAGAGTTTCCGATACCCAGTCTTGCGCGGTTGAGATGAAAATATTTTCTTTTACTGTACAGTGTTGCCATTGCTCGCTTTGAAATCGTCGAATTTGTTAAGCAAAAATTCGTTAAAGTATTACAAAATAGGAAATAGATAATAAAGCAAATTCCAAATTCCAAATTTGGGCTTCCAGGTGCCCATATTCGAGTGTAGAACTACGTTATTCAAAATTTAATGTCTCTAGGTACTGTTGTTTTTTCACAGTGCAAGAAACAAACATAGATTCATGCAGAATCTTCATTATTTTAATTTCTTTAAATATAATGCAGGGCTCTAATTGGTGGCAGCAATTTGAAAAGTGACACGCCGTTTTATATTGGACGAAGCAAAATGCCAAAACGAAATTAACAGTCTTTCCGAGCAAATTTCTCGTTTGAGATAAAAAGAGATAAAGAAGAAATGAAAAAGAGAGAAAGCCTCCCTTACCCTGAGATCATGAAAGTTAAGCCAACACCCAACTAAATTTCCTACGGGTCTGCTTACCCGATTTGTAACATCACAATGGCAACAGTATCACGTTACCTATTTATTTCAGATGCAAGTTAAAGTGAAAAAGTCAAGTGAAATTCTTTTTTAAAAGTAATGCGTGAAACTTATTTTTAGTAACATATTACGTTATTATTTGATGAAACTCAAATACATTTACACCGATAGTTAAAATAAGTTTAGAAAGTATTTTCTCCCTCCTTGTCGCGTGCTTTCGTGCTGTAATTTGAAGCATGTCCGGCTACTGGAAGACCTGTAATTGGAATCTCCGCCAGGACATGTATCCTGCTTCGACAAATCTAATTTGAGTCTACAAATGCCCCCCCCCCGAAATGAAATGTGGTGGACGCAGTCGTCACCGTTAAGATTTGCAGTTATGTCCCGCCTCCCCAGTCCCTGTTTAAGTGGGGAAGAAAGAGAGGAATTTTTTCACTCTTATTAATTAAGTCATTAAGTGAATTAAGTCAGTTGGAGCAGCAACTTCAATGTCTTTTTGCCTAGTGGGATAGCAGGCCAAGAACTTTATTTCGCTGTATTTGGTGTTTTAGATTTTTCTCTATTTTAAAACTTTTAATGAAGTGTTGAGTTTTTATGTATGTTACGGTGAAACACCGAAATCTGGAGAATGTCGACTTTCACCGGTGAATGGCAACATTCACATAGTCTCTTGGTGTATGTCCGAAATATTTTCCAAATACTCTTATTTCTGACTTACACCGGTAAATGTCGACATTCACCATGTGCTAATGGTGAATGTTGAACATATAGGAATATTATATTTTCTTCTCCGTAATTCAGTAGTGAAAAAACGCACTTGAGACTTAAAATAAGAACATAATAATATAAGAACTTAAAACACACCGTACAATCAAAATGAGAAGGAAAATATAGAATTAAAAATTTACTTATTATACAGTACGTTCTAAATGAGAACATAAAATATTGTAATAAAATCTTACTAAATTATGTGATTCAAATCTTATTTTGCAACAACTTAAACTATATGGCACTTATGACCTCTCTTTTCGACCTACAACCAGAGCATATATGTTGATTGTCGACATACACCGGTGAGGGTCCGAATGTACAAAATGTACATGCAATATTCGATCTTTCACCGACGTATTTGGTGACTGTTGACATTCTCCGGTGAAAGTCGACATTCTCCAATTTCGGTCTTTCGAGGTAACATATATTTTACTTGCCGAGAAATGAGAACTGAATTGATTGAACAAGAAATAAATGTCTAGTGAAATAGGAAATAAGTTTAAATGAAGTGCGGCCAAATATGTGTATAATTTAATAGGCCGGAGAGGGAAATCATGTAGTGTCCATATCAGGTATTTTTCTTTCATCTATGCCATCTCACCACGTTTATCTTCCGATCATTCTCTTTTTCCTTACTGGTCACCAGTTCCTGTGCCTCCTATACCTGATGTAATATCCACTGGACTAGTATTAAGAAAAAAATATTATTTCATGATATAAAGTTTATGACTGTGTTACGTACGCTTAATGGCTCTGTGTTACGTAAGCTAAGGGCTGGAAAGTGCTTGTATGTTGTTACGCAAAATATCAAAGTACGGCTCTGTTGGTGTTACCTGTTAGCGTAAATCAAGGAGCTCTTCTTTTATTCAATTTTTATTGTTGAATCTAAACAGGTGGGGATTAACTGCTCTTTGTCCTTCATTGGCAAGTCATCTGATTTATTGTAATTCTCAAATTTCATTTTTAATCAAGTCATGCGTCTCAGTTTTGTGTGAAAAATGTTCTTTTATGTGTATTTTCATTTGAGATATGTGTTCTAATATGCTTCTTTTGACACTTGTCTTTTTTATCCAAATCTAAAATGTTTGACATTTTTAATCCAAACATAAAACATTCTTCATTGGATACTTCTTGGATACTTGTTCTTCATTGGATACTTGTTTAATCAATTGGATTTGAAATACGTACAGTAATTTCTTTGAAATATGATGACCACATATATATCATGTTTTAATGCGTAGATGAAGGAATTATTATTATTATTATTATACACCAGCAAACAGGGGCTCCGTTGCCTTGCAGTCTAGCACGCTGCCTTACACGGATTAAAGCCTCTGCCTCCGGAAGATGAAGGAATCCGCTACTTAAATTTCTGGCCTCCGAAGACACTTTATTGCGTAGTTGGAAGAACGACCAACAACTTTCAGATATGGCCGATTCGAAACATGATTTTATTGCAGGATAATTCACATCAGATCATCTTTCTGTAGATAAGATATTTTTCAATCCTAGTTGAATGCAATAGTTTCCATGTATACAGGTTTTTAAGTACTACGTCATCTTAAGCAAGTAAGCAGCAGCGTGGATTAGGAGCGTCTTGTTAGGAGGAAAGCTTAAGCGAAAAGGGGAGAGTGTCGCAGTACTTCAGAGAAAGAAAGGAGGGAGTCGAAACGTTTCAGTTCCGAGTTAAAAATGTTTTGATTTACAATTATTTGATTGGGCCAGAGGTATCTGCATTAAGCCTTACGTCGGATCGCAGTATTAATTCGAATGACGCAGTTTAGACTTATAGCGCTATTTTTAAAATAGAGAGATGAAATCTCGAAATTAAATTAAAAAAATAAAACAGATTATAGCCAATTAAAATTAGAAGTTTGCTTTCATATTTTTTATCTTACACATATATAAAGATACTGATGTTAAAAGACATTAATATTTATATTAATTTTAGTAACTTGCAGAGTAGTTAGGTTTATTTATTTATTTATTTGAAGCAGGAAACGTGAAAAATGTGTCTGGATCGCGCATGCTTTCAGTTACGCACGAAGGCATGCGGAAAGGTGGGAGGCAATACCTTATAAACTTGCAATCTTAAGACTGTGTATTTAGTTCATTTAAAATGACAGAGATGTCTGCTAAATAGGCCCTACATTGTTATCACATAAATTTAGAGTACCTCAAAAAATCGGCTTTAGATTTTGCCTTGAGACAATATTTGCACTTCTGAATGTAAAAACTAGATTTCATGTATGCTGTCTAATTCATCACATAATAAAAGGAATAATCTTAAATTTAAATAAATGATTTAATATAAAGTTTAAAATGTTAACTCCAGCATCTTAAATGCATCCATTATTAATGTTACCACAAAGGTTCCTGTCTGGCATCCATTGTTCCATGTAATATAGAGAAGACAACAACAACCACAAACGTTATGAAGACGATAATGAGAATAAACAATGTATGGGGCGAATGCAATTATCCGTCACACAGCCGTTTTTCTTTTGTTTTAGTGGACCCTTGAAATGCACGAACTTTCACGTAAATAAACAGGCGAATGTTTAATTTTGTTGTTGTCTGAATTGATTTATTTATGTTTTATTGAGCATGACTGTACTCATAAAAACTGATCCACTTCATTATTCACATAATAACATCAATAAAATAAAAATAACATTTAATTAAATATTATTGTTGGCAATTTTTATACAAAAGGCTTTTTAATGCATATAAATAAGCCATTGATTTACATGTCAAATAGGTATTGCTTTGAAAAAGTCTTAAAATAGAGAAGTTTTTCTTATTTTGGTGCATTTTATATGGTGCATTTTTCAATACAGGGAATTTTTACGATTTTGAATAATTTGATAGTCTTGATACGTTGTTCTAAATTTTGATTTTGTATTGCATAAATCCCTGGATTCAACAAAATGCAGTCTGAAAATAGGTATTTTATACACTCAGACGTAAAATAAAACTGAGTCATTATGAGATACGACTTGGAGGGCTGTATTCAAACCACCGCCTGCTTCTTAAACGGGTATTGTTTTGGGATTAAAAAAAATCAGTAATGGGAAAGTTCCATGATTTTACGGTGATGTCTGTTTTATGCAAAGTGTATTTTTCAATACAGTGGTGTTTTGCATAACGTGCATCTAGTATAACAAAGACATTAACGAATCAGAACTTTTAAACCGCTACTGGGGATTTTAGGGGACCCAATCGCCAAATCTTGGGTGGGAAGAAATCATCATCCACCACTCTTTTAGTTCGGGCACCACTGTAGAGACATTAGGTTATATTTTTTGAAAGCAGGCAAGATGAAAAATTAGTAATCGCCTTTGCCGCGAATCGAACCACAGACCTCTGGAACATCGGCTGAGCGTGCAGCACTACGCCACGAAGGCGGAGTCGATCGACGATCCAGCCGGCGGCGAGTGCCGACTGGATCGTCGAGTACACCGAAAGAGTCTTTTAGTGTATCGTGGTTAGTTCATCGTCGAAAGAGTGTGTTGGGCTCTGGGAGCGACTGAAACCAGGAATCTTGACCTGTACTCTTATCGTCGAATGCATCGGGAGTTTTAGCGTGGAAAGTCTCGAGAGTACGTGAAGTTCCGAGAACAACTAAGCAGAGTCGGGAGCTGTACTTTGCTTTGCAGTGAAGCTGTCTTCACCGTGGTAGCCTGATAGCCTGAAGGCAGTGTCGCTGATTGTTCCAGCGTGGTTAAGCAGATCTTCGACGACCTAAACGTGATTTTGGAGCTATCCTCGAAATACGGGCTAAATAAAGTGTGTTTTGATACTTCATCAAGTGCTGTCGTCGTTATTCACTCCAAATCCACACGAACCCCATACGAACGTGAAGGAAGAAAATAACGTAACAACTAGTGTCAGAAGAAAACTTAACAATACTAAGTTTTATTTCGGTCAACATCCTATATATCTAATAAGCACTATAAACTGAAAAATTCAAGAAGACGTAATCTGATAGTGAGTATAAATAATTTTAATTAATAAGCTAAGTACCTAGGGAAGAAACAAGGGGGAGATTTGTTCCCAGCCGCAGCATCCAGGGCGCATTTTTTTCCTTCACTACTGAATTTTGTTTGAAGAAGAGAGCGCTAAAACTTCAGTTATTCCTGGACGCTAAAATCTCTAGCTATGCCTCTGAATAAATATATGCGTTTTTTAATGTTTGTGATTTTATATTTAAAAAAAAAAAAAAAAGAATATTTCTGTTACATTGTCATGCAAAATTGCAGCCTGTATCATAAAATGTTTATGATAAAGAGTAAAAAGATCAAAATGCTGTATAAAATAACTTCTGTAAATATTCATAGTACAGTCGTTATTAAACATAATTCAGCTGTATGAGTCGAATCCAAATGCAATTCTTATCATGGTAACTGCTCTTGCATTGCAAAACCGAATCCATGTGCACAGCTTATGTCATCCAAATAGTTTCTATTCTCTTATCGTGACAATGAAGATACTCGGCGTTGGCTGAATAGCAGCGTTTGAAGTTCAGAAATAACTTAACATACCAAGATTTTATTCAATGAGGCGTAGCTAGGGTTTTCAGCTCCCAAGGACAACTGAACATCTTGTGCCCCTTTCAGTGTGCCGAGAATGAAAAATATTTCATTCTAAAATTTCGTAACATCAATTTGCCGCCCTTGGATGCTCACAGATCGTATTTTATTCTCGAGTGTCAAAAAGATGTACAAACATCTTTTTACTCGACTTCTGATAAGAATCTGGAAGGAGGAGTAAGGGGATACGCCCGAGAACAGATGTCCCTCCTTGCCGCACCCTAGCTACGCCAATGCTCTCTTTTTTTCCCATGAATGGTTTTGAAACTGAAAATTGAATGTTTGAAACTGTAAATGAAACAGAAGGACAATATAGTTGTAAATTTAAATAAATGGAGGTTGTGCAAAGTGTTAAGGTTGAGTTTGAGGTCCAAATTCTAAAGTGATGTGCTTAGTAAATAATGAAGAGAGTAAAATGAGAGGTGAGCTATTATTTTTAATAAATTTATCCAGCTAAATGACAGATTTTATTTTTAATATATAAATTTTTTTTATGATAGGCATGCTTTTCGAAGTTTCTTACAATTACTTGATTTTATTAATTTTTTATTGTAGATTTTATCATGCTTTGGATAAGTTCTGTCATAGCTGTGTGGCTTGAAGGAAGCACATTTCCTGAACTTCCTCGTTGACACTGTACACACTACAACTTCTGATTCCATGATCTTTCCGTATGTTGACGTTAGGTAACGAGACGTGGCTTTAAATAGACGGTTGTCTGGTTAATGAAATTTTATGTGATATATGCTACTAGTTAAAATTTAAGGTTAGTAAAAATCAGCAGATGTTTGGCTTTTTATTAATATGTTTTTTCTGAATAAATTCAATACTTTTAGAAAGAAGTATTTCATGTTAAAAATTGATAAGTAATTATCATCCCACAGAATTATTTAATTTTTAGCATTTAATATTTCAGATAATCCTTTATAAATATTGATTTCAACTTTTAAGGCATTTGACATGCATTTAAATAAAATTTTTATTGCAAGAAGTACTTTGATTTAAAAAATATTACAACAAATGCAATATTTTGGAATTCTATTGATTGTAAAATTTTATCTTTCAAATAAAGTCTGATAATACTAGCTACACCGTATGAAATCGTTATATTATATAATGAAATCTGATTAGCTGGAAATGCATGATATTCAAATGATGCGTTTTTTTTAGTCTTGTATTTTCATATTATATTTTCTATGACAGTCTATCTTAAATGCTCTAGATAATAATTACAAACAGCTGATTGATTAGCGTCTTGGTTTTTAAGCGTTGCTGTAAGTCAGGAAAAGTAATTTTTAATATTTAATTACTGGAAACGGGTTTATAAATTTTATAGAACTTAGTATAATTATTGAGTCCTATTTACTTTTTCTCCAATTTCAAGGAATATTTATAAATTTGCAACAGTCGGTATTTGTATTATTCAATTTATAGGAAATCGTAAAATTTTCATGGGAAACAACCAGAAAAGGAAAATATTCATAATTAAAGTAGGTCAAAGTTTTTATTTAATTTTAAAAGCATTAAACATATTGCAATTTTTCAAAAGTTTTAGAAAATGTAGATTTTTTGATGTATTGAATAATGTTATTCGCTTCAAAGATAATTAGTAACACATTAAGAAAAGAAAATATTATTTCTAACAGTACAATCTGGGGGGGGGAGAGCAGTTTTAATTTTTTTAGAACATCCATCCCATGTAAACATATAGTGTGTCCCTTGTCTTTTTAGCAGAATATGTATTATTAAAGTTAATTAAATTTATCAATCCTACTGGTTAAAGTTTTTCTCTTTTAATCTTAAAATATCTTTTGAAGCTTCCTGATTAATGTAAAGATTGCAGAAACATAAATAGAAAAGTTTATTGAAATTTATCATCATTTGATTTAAATGTTTCAAGTAGCCCATATGGCAAAATAAAACCATTGTTGAAGAGAAAGAATTGTTTAAATATCTTCTAGATATATTAGAGATCAAAATGATAAACTGGAATGGGAAAAAAATGTATAATAGTCTGATTTGCTACGTTTAGAAACATTAAGAAGTTTAATTCTTAAAAAATTTATCCCTTCTACTAAATGAACATTGCAACTTGGTGAAAGTGAAAAAATATTGGATATGTAGGCTTGAATAAAGTCTGAACAACAATGTCAAGAATGGATTAGTTTGAAAAGAAATCCACTTTCTATTAAAGAAAATATTTAAATTTAAAAATTGAGCAACAGTAGAAAAGCTAAAACTTGATATTATTATTAAACATAGTTTTTGTCAGTATTAATTGTAATTTTCAGAAATGAACTGAGCTTCTAAAATTTGATGTTTCAGATGGCAGCTTATCAAACATACCAAGATTTTATTCAGCAAAATGAGGATCGAGATGGTATTCGTTTTACGTGGAATGTCTGGCCTTCTAGTAGACTTGAGGCAACACGCTTAGTAGTACCTTTGGCTTGTTTGTACACACCACTAAAGGAGAGACCTGATTTACCATTCATTCAGTATGAACCAGTTGTGTGCAGTCGACAAACCTGCCGTGCAGTTTTAAATCCATTATGGTAAGTGAAAATTTATAGTAGCTTCAACTTATTATATTAAATAACTCACTGTCTCTGCTTATTGGAATTCTTTATCAATAATAGATAAAAAAAAATATAGCAATAAAAGTATTACAAAAAATTTAATATACAAAAAAAAAAAAAAAAAAAATCTGAAAGCTTTCAGATTTTATATTACGCTCACAGAAGAGTTTTTTTTAACATTTTGTATCTTACTTTTATTTAATAAATATCTTTGCATGTTTTTCACATTTAAACCATGAAATTCAATTCAACAGCAATATCACACAATAATTTAAAAAGAGCATATCTTTAGAAATTTTGATACACAGTCTGGAGACAAAAATGTTATTTATTTTCCCCTGTACGGTGTTGCCATTGCTTGCTCTGAAGTTGTTGAGTTTGTTAATCACGTATCTGTTAAAGTTTTAAAAACGTTAGTGTAGGTATGGTGGGGTAAGGGTAGACGGTTGATCTTTACATTATGGTAACTTGGCGTTTTTTTGGCGAAAATTTGGCGACCAACTCTCCTACAGCAACCTATTTTTTTTTCCCGCCGCCATTTTGTCTTCACGAAGTAAAGACATGTTTCTTTTCTTTTTATCTACTGAACACTTCTTCCAACAATCTACTAGCCGAATTACACTTATGTTAGAAATTTTATCTAACAAAACTGCTTAATCATGACAAATATTCACTGCAAAATTGGGAAAAAGTGCACAATACCATACTCCTTACGCATTTTTCAAAATACCACATACACATAAACCATGTACACGCCGACTTATTTTTTACTTAAAAAAAATCCCAGAATTGCACAAAAATGGCATTGCGCACACTCTTCACTATATCCATGTACACTGCTTTTTCTCATAAATTAGAAAAATTTCACGAAAATACATGACAATTTTCTGAATCTTTAAACCCGGTAAAAAGAACATATATGAAATTACCTGATCGCGAAAAAGTATTTACCCTTTCCAAATATGAGCCCACCAGCGGCCGAGCGCTAAAGTCGCTGAACACTGGTAGTTCGGTCCAAGGTTCGAATCCCGCGAACGGGCTGGCTGCATGGGTGTTTTCGTGGTTTTCCCCATGTGTAACGTGTATACGAGCCAGTTTCCCTTAGAAAGTCCTCCACGAAGCCATCCCTCCTCTTTGGCAGATAGCCCTAGTGTGCTTTGCCATAATTAAATACACCACACCACTTTCCAAATATGAACATTTCCACATATAAAATAAATAAAATATCCAAAAACTTTTACCTCTAAATCATCTATTACATTATACACGTCACCAACGAATTCATGCCGCAAGCATTACAAATACTTAGTATCAAATATTTAAATTATTTCCATGCACGTTTACTTCAACTTAACGTATACCAAATTCCTACAAACATAAAATTCACAAAATACTATCATTTAATAAAATATAACTAAACCATGTACACGCCGACTTAGTTTTTACTTAAAAAAACATCCCAGAATTGCACAAAATGGCATTGCGCACACTCTTCACTATATCCATGTACACTGCTGCTTTTTTGCTCATAAATTAGAAAAATTTCACGAAAATACATGACAATTTTCTCAATCTTTAAACCCGGTAAAAAGAACATATATGAAATTACCTGATCGCGAAAAAGTAATGAACATTTCCACATATAAAATAAATAAAATATCCAAAAACTTTTACCTCTAAATCATCTATTACATTATACACGTCACCAACGAATTCATACCGCAACCATTACAAATACTTAGTGTCAGATATTTAAATTATTTCCATGCACGTTTACTTCAACTAAAACGTATACCAAATTCCTACAAACATAAAATTCACAAAATAACTATCATTTAATTAAAATATAATTAAATTCAAAAACACTATTTAAAATATAAATGAGCACATACATTAAATTAATAAAGGACGTACTTAATAAAGGACAGTGCCAGAATTACATATACGCTGCACAAGCTATAGCGTAGGGCCACCTTCAAAAATTGGGTACTTTTCCGTTTTGCCGGCGCAAGCGATAAAGTCGCCAATAATGATACAACTGATGCCAAACAGAATATTCTCGCTGGTAACCTTTTACGCATCATTTACAAAACAAGTCGCAGCTTTTTCTTATCAGACTGGTTGTTTCTTACAATACTGGCATATAGAATACATAGAATTTTTATCAGATAGTTCAGTTTATGTCTAAGGCCATTTTCGGTAATTAAGTCAATTGGGATGCAATGACAGTGCTTATCCGAAGCCGAAAATATAGAAAAGGTAAAGTCAAGGGTTAAATTCATCCATTCTAATGAGAATGCATTAGCGAAGTAAAGCACTGCAGTTTTACATAATTTCTGAGTAAGCTATTCGTACGAATTGAAATATTTCTTGCATTTAAACTTGTGTTCCAAATTAAGATTTAACTTGAAATGAATGTAGATAATTACTGAGATAATTAGATTTTTGTAGTAGTTTACGTGAGATGAGATCGCTTGGGGTCACGTGATATGAACCGGCGAATCAGGATGTTGAACCATGAAAGCATAGTAAATTCTTAAATTAATGTCTTTTTACAAATTTATTGTCTTTATTTATTGGCTTTTTATAAAACTTTAAGCGGTATTAAAATGTTTATGCCTTCTTTTTTTAAAAGAATTCTTAGAACTAATATTTTTTTAATATTTTTTATGTGTATACTGTATGTCGTCGCCAATAAAGTCTGCTTGGCGAAATTTGCGCCGGCGAAACGGAAAAGTACCAAAAATTGTACTATATCCTGTATTAAGAAAAAAAGTTTCATATAGCTCATAAATGGCCCCATATCTCAAATAGCTTAGGATCTCGTCAAATCTAAATCCAGTCGTGATAAAAGAGAAAGGTCTTGATGCTTTTGAAAGCTTGAGGTCTGCTTTAATTCAACTAGTATTTTGTTCCTCGTCTGCAGCTTTCTCTTTTTGTATAATTATTGCTGAACTGTAATATCTTCATTTTCTTTTATATTATAGTTTTCCAATCTTTTTTGACTTCCAGTCGCTTCTTCTATCCCTCAGGATGACCCTTTGAATTTGTTCAGCATCTCCTAAGCTTTTAGTAGTAGTATATCAGATGTTCTTTGTATGTTATCTGTATGTGCAGAGTGGATATCAATTAGAAGTTTGGCTGTAGTGCTATTGCTATTTGCAAGAATTGGATATTGCTGCAAGTATGGATTTGGAGTCATGTTTGTAAAATTTTAGGCTGAGTTTGTACAGTCAACTTCTGATTTACTGGAGTGGGTTGTGTTATTTGGATGTGGCAATATACAAGGTTATCCAAATTAAACTTTCTTAACTCAGAGGCCTGTGCAGAGTGTTGTATGGGTCATAATGTGATGAAATTTTAAAAACAGACATTTCAGATCATGCGCTCGAGATTTATTACACAAAAAAAATTAGTACGAGAAGTGGCTGATAGGTGGCACTGTAACACTAATAATGTGCATATTGCAGCAACGTGATTTGCAGAAATAAAGCTTCTGCACAACGTATCCAAAAGACGAGCCCTACAAAAGTGGAAGACAGGCTTTGCATAGAGCATAAGAGCATTCCGTCGGCTGAAGATCTTACGCCGAGGACCAATGACACCACCCGCTCTACAAGACATGATGAAGAAATTCGAAAGAACAGGACAGCTGGGAATTTTACCAGGTAGAGGACGACAGGTTGTGGAATCTGCACACGTAGAAGACGTTGCTTTGGCGGTCGAGGACTCCACTAACCAATCGCCACATGGTGTTGTCAGTGTGCCAACTGTTTCTCGTGCTGTTGATATGTCCTATACGACCGTCTGGCATGGGATGCATTGAATCCTCGGTTATTTTCCTTACAAAATCCATAGTCATCATCAGCTGTCCGACGGGGATCCTGTAGTTCGGGAAACATTTGCGTTGCAGTTCCTTGCCAGAATGGAAGTCGATGCTGCTTGGCCGTGGAACATCCTTTGGACGGATGAGGCCCATTTTCACCTAAATGGTCAAGTGAATACGCACAACTGCCGCATTTGGGCAAGTGAAAACCCGCGTGCAATCCATCAAATGCCCTTGAACCCTCCAAAGGTTACTATATGGTGCGGTTTCACTGCAACATTCGTCATTGGGCCTTATTTTTTTGAAGAGGTGACTCCAACAGGATTCAAAACCTGCTCTGTCACAGGAAAACGGTATCAGGACATATTGACAACGTTTGTGATCCCTGAACTGCAGCAACATGGCGCCTCCAGGACACGATATTTATGCAGGATGGTGCACCTCCCCATATTCTTCGTGGCGTTCAACAGGTGTTACGGGCAACTTTTACCGATGCACGTGTGATCAGCCGCTGTTACCCTACAGCTAGGCCTCCCCGCTCGCCTGATCTCACCCCATGCGACTTTTGGTTATGGGGATTCTTAAAGGATCGGGTTTACCGAGAATACCCAGCAACCTTGGCATATCTGAAAGATGTAGTTATTCGACATGTTCGTGGAATTAACGTGGACTTACTGCGTTCCGCTGTGGAACACACTGCTTTGCGAATGGAAAGAGTTATGGAGAACCACGGCACACGTATAGAACATCTGTAGAATGTCTTGTTGATCTGCAGTGCCACCTATTGGCAACTTCTTGTACTAATTTTTTTTTTTTTTTTTTTTTTTTTTTTTTTTTTTGTTTAATCTCGAGTGCATGATCTAAAGTGTCTGTTTTTGAAATTTCATCGCATTATGACCCATACAACACTCTGCACAGGCCTCTGAGTTGGAAAAGTTTAATTTGGATAACCCTGTGTATAAGGGCTCTCTGACTAATGAGACAGATACCGTTGTGGATAACTTTCTAAGGGAAACTAGCTTCTGTAAGTATGCTCTTGTTGCCTACTTTTTCTGACCTCCTGTTTGCCCTTTGACTAGTAACAAGTCCATAAGTATCCTCAATACCAACTGGTCAGCATTAGTGTCCATATTGGAGAAACTTATTATTATACATGACATAATGATTTATGATATTAACATGTTTTCTGAATCATCTGTATTTTTGGTTTCATTTGGGTATAATTTTGTATGAGCTAAAAATTGAAAAACAGTTTAGTGTAGAGCCAGGCAGAGAGAGAGAATATATTAAACTCAAATATCATATTTAATTACAATTTAAACTAGTTCAATTTAGTCCATATGAAATTGTGAAATATACTTTCAACAAGTGAAAATACAGTACAGTTTAATTTTCTTTGCAAGTAATTAATTGTATTATAATTTTAAAATTATAAAAGATGATGCAATTAATTCCATGTAAATTGTGGCTTGCTTGCTTTTTGCATCATTCAGATTATTGCTTAATTTCATTGCTGCTTATTTTTCATCATTTATAAACTCAGTGCAGATTTAATGAATTAATAAGCTTGTTTCTTAACAGAAAACATAAGTCATGATGTTTATGTAATTTATAAAACTAATATAAGTTTTTAAAACTCAAAATTGTCCTTTTTTTTTTTTTAAAAAAAAGCCAAGTTGATTATCGAGCGAAGTTATGGGTTTGCAACTTTTGCTTCCAACGTAATCAAGTAAGTAAAACACATGTTTACTGTGTAATTTATATACTTTATTAATAATTAGTTTATTTTCTTTAAAATTTATTTATGCTGTGTTAATATTATGCGAAGCAATTTTCTGGAATATTTCCTCATTGGCACTTAAAGTAGAGTTTTATTTTTTATACTTTAAAAGTATATAAAAATAATAATGTATGTATTTATGTATAAAAGAAGAAAAAAAGGAGAAATAAATAAAATGTATGCATAACTAGAACCGTAACTAGCTATGTGTTTGCTAGAATCATGTCTAGTTAGGGTGTTCACACCCGGGGACAGTTGAAATTTTTTTTCCCTTCTTCTGTTCCCCAAGAATGCAAAGTATTTAAGTTTAAAATTCCATAATATCAGTTTGGCCATCCCCCCGAATGATGCACCATCCCACCTTGCTTTTCTAGTTACACCACTGCACAAAACTAATTTTAAATCATGCTTGAAGCTGCAGTGAGATGAAATAAATAAAGATTTAAGTTTGCATATGTAAACTAAAAATGTATTTAGTAATGGAAGTTTTGCTCACTTCTATTCACTATGATAATCTTAGAAATGTGGAGACCTAAAGCCAGCAGTAATTTATAAACATGTGAATAAGAAATAAATTTACTGCATTATTTTCCTCTATACCATAAAATTCTGACAGAGATCCCACCAAACTTTCACCAATCATTCAAGCAGAATTTTTAAGAAAAGATGTCTGATGCAGACACCATGTGACTTCCTTATACAGCCTATTAAATTATACCCATTTTTGGCTGCTGAATTTAAACGTATTTCCTTACACAAAAACTCAAAACATCTTTTTATTAAAAATCATAAAATACAGAAAAACCTAAAACACCAAATACAGTTTAAAAAAAAAAATTAACTGTTTTTAGCTACCTCTCAAAGTAAGCAATTTGGCCAATGGGTAAGAAGACCCAATTTTTTGTGCACAAAATAGAAAGTTAACTTTTGTTCCCACTGGGAAAAAAGACACTAGAGTTGGTGAACCAACTGACTTAATTCTTTATTTTACTAAATTTCAAATGTGAACAAATGGTGGCCTTGTTAGGGCTAGTGCCGCTAAAACTTTTAAATTAATGATCATTCCACAGCTATTGCATGCAGATTAACTAAAGACTTGAAAGGCCTTAACCAGAACATAATAACAATTTTACAATCCACTTAGAAAAAACTAATCCTTTATTGTGTCTCCACGCACAGATGTCGTGCAAAAATATCGTGTAAATGGATTCGAAAGTAGTCAAAATGGATATTTTCTCTGAAATATGATATCTGAAATTTTTCACTAGTACAATATTTCCCTTACTTCCTATAAGGAAGTAAAAATGGCTATTTATTTAGCTAGATAATCATATATCCCTATTTAATTGCATAACCAGTAGATAAAAATTATGAATACGGCATATATAAAACTTAAATAAATATTAACTTAACCCTCAGAGCATTACAGGTTTGGCATTGAAGTTTTAAAATTTTCCTAAATGTCCTGAATAAGTATATTTTCTTAAGTATAATTCCAAAATAACTATCTCATTTTGTACTTTAACTCCTTTCCTTCCAATATACAACCAACCTGAAATCAGAAAAATCAACAGCTGGCAGAAATTTGCCTGTGTAATGAATTGGAAAGCCATTCTTTCATGTGAAATTTTACATTCTTAAGCTTTGAGATATCATCTGACGAAAAATTCATTAAAACTTCCCCGGTTATTTTGGTTGCCAAAAATATTAAATGGCATTCAAAATAATCGTTATCTTTGTAAACTTGGTGTCATATGAATTACAATAATCACAAATCCAAGTGGTGTCATGTGGTTCTGCTATGTTTTTATACCATTTTGAATAATCCTGAAGTCTTTCAAGGTTTTGAGTTTGTGCACCAGTATCCTTCCTATTCCCCCCCCCCCTGCACTGTTATTCTCACCATGCACATAGCAATCTTTTTCACTTCAGAAAACAGAAAACGGCAGAGAATTGCACAATTTTAGCATTGCCTAACAGACATGTGTTATGCACATACCTGGGTTGCCACATAAATACTTTTCCCTACATCATGACATGAATATTTTTTGTGACTTTTCAGTGGGGGTACAGATAATCAGAAAGCGTAAAAATTTCATTTCATTTTCTACGTAAAATGCATACAACGCTGATTGTGCTTTTTTAACTTAAATTACTGAGAAAGTTGTCTGCCTTCCATATACATTCACACAAAGAAAAAGAGGAAATAGTGATTGATGGCTTCCTTGACTTGAGAGAGTTTCAAGACAGCTTCCATAGAGGGTTAGGGCACCTTATTCTGGAGATTAAACTTAAAATTATTTACTCTCAGGATTTGCTTTTCATGTCTTATATGCTTATAAACTTGAAATTGTGTTTAATGTGTGAATAATGTTATAGAATTCAGTTAATTTTATTTTTATCATACAGTTTCCCCCTCAATATGCTTCAATATCTGAACATCATCAACCTGCTGAATTGATTCCTCAATTCTCAACTATAGAATATACCATTACTGTAAGTATTTGTATGTATTTGTTTTGCATACATGCTCTCTCCCCATATTTTTTATTCATATTAATGTAGTATTAAATTATATGAACACTTGCTTGTTATAATTTTAACCCTTCGAATGTTACGGGTTTGGCCCAAACATTACAAAGGTCCCCAACATGTCATGAGTAAGTGTTGTTTTCTTGATTATAATTCTAAAATGACTTTTTCATTATTTACATTGCTTATTTACTTCTAATATGCATTGAACCTAGAATCAAATTGATCAGGATCTGGCAGAAATGTTCATATGTAACAAAGGTGTACCAAAGCCATCCTTTGGTATGGAGTTTTACATCCATAACCCTCGGAGGGTTAAATATTGTAAAGTATCATATTTTAAAATCTCTCATTTTTAAATGTTAAAAAAAACTGCTTTAACTAGTCTATTATTTTGTAAAGGTAACAGCATAACTTTCATTTAAAAATAAATTTTATGACATGAAATGGACGTCATTTTATGTTGATTAGGTGGTGACATGAAATGACTTCATTTTATGTTGATTAAGTGTTGTGGCATTAAAAATGACATTTGTTAAAGCATTTTCATTTAATACATTTAATTCTAGCTTTTGAAAGGGGAGATTCTGCAAAACATAAAAAAAAAAAAAATAATAATAATAATAATAATAATAATAAAAGCATTTCTATCCAGTGTAATTTGTTTGAGCTACAAAAATTAAATTTGATAAGCAGTTTCTAAGGCATGTAATTAAAAAAAAAAAAAAAGTTTGAGTAAAATTTAATATGTAATATGAGCATTTTAGTGAAATTAATACTTGGCAAAGTAAATTTGAATATTTTGAAAACAAAAAGGCATGTTATCAAAAATTAATTTAAAAAAAAATTGTCTCGCTAAAATAGTTTGGGTATTTTCTAATTACTGTTGTCCTCTGAAACGTTGATAGTTGATTGGTGACATTGTGATATGGCAAAAATATTTGTTTGCCTTAGGTACTGTTTTGTCCATAAGTAATTTTAAAAAAGGCATTTTATTAAAAGCATATTTTATGAGTGGAGAAAAAATTTTGTATGGTTACACTTTTACATCTGATGGAAACTGTTTAACTATGGCCTTCAAAATTTCTTTTAAAGAGTCTTTTCTTTTGTTTGCTGAGTATTGTACCGAACTAATTCAGCAAAATAAGGTAGGGGGTGATGTCTTGCAGGTCCTTTTCACTTCTTGTTTCTCCAGTTAAATGAATCTCAAATTTTATACAACATGTGTGAGCATGACTCACCAGGTCTACAAAATTATACCTGTGGCTTCCTGCAGTGTGATACATACAGACATAGGTTGCCTGTTATTGCCTGTGTACTCTAAACTATGCCATATATACTGAATGATGAAAACAGTTGCTGATAATCAGAAGGTATCTGTGGAAAAAGTTGATTTTCTGAATGTTATTCAAAATGAATGTTCTTTTTTGTCTATGTCAGTATCTTTGCATTTTTATTATCTGAAAGTTAGTTTCTATTAAATTTGCTATAATTATGAACTAAGTTAACTTGAAAACTGTCATTCTAGTCTACATACATGTATACTTTTAATTAGGCTATTCTTTGTACATAAATGCTACTTGGTCTTCATTTCGGTTGTATTTTACAGTATAAATTTTGGTTTAGCTGCTGAGCATATAAAAAGATAAATATGGTACTTATATATTTTCTGATTAGCTGTGAATGTTGACAAAAATCTCAACAAAACTGCGCTTAGGACGAGTGGAAGTTTAAAGGATTGCTTTTTTATTTAATTAGATAATCAGCAGGTGCAGATTACAGATATGGCATATTACTTGTAAATAACTGTAAGTTCAAGCTTTGAGATTATATGACAAAGCAATTCATTAAAACTAGCACTAGTCATTTCAGCTATTAAAAATCCCTGATGGAGTATAAATGGACAACAAAACAGTCAGTTTCTTTACAAAATTGATGCTGCATAAATTCATTTAAATATGAATCTGATTGGTATCATGCTTTTCCATTGTGTCTTTTATTGTGACATTTTGACGAGCTCTATAATCTTTTAATGTGTTGTGTATGCTCATCAGTATAACCAGACCTGCTACCTTGAAAATAAAACTCTTTAATGTTCTGTGAAAATCCCAAAATGTTAATCACTATTTTTTCCCCCAAAATGCAGAGTAATAGCAATTAACATATAACTTCTGATACTTAAATATTACCCCATCAAATATTAAAGTTGACTGCCATCAAATGATGCATTAGCGGAGATCCTACTAAAGTTCTACCAGTCATTCCTATGGAATTCTGAAGGAACTGATGCCTCTTTATTTAATAAACAATCAGTATTTGACCCACTTTGTAAAAAAGCTTTTTATGATTTCTTACTATTTTGTTAGGCCTTTTAATTTTACCAAAAGCTCTGATTAGAACGCTCTGAGTACAAACTTCCTGCATGGATTGTCCCCATTTATTACTGTTTCGAAAATATTCAGCTGACCATATCGTGTCCATTAATACAAATCTTTTTTAATGGTAGGATCCTGTAACTTCAAAAACATCCTCTGTTTATTTCTAGAAGGGAGAACCCAAATTTAAATTTTTTTTTTTTTTTTCCATAAGTACAAGGAAAAAATATAATAATAGTTAATTTTATATCCTTGTTCAATAAAATAAAACATGGCTCACCAAGAATGAGTCAGGATTACATCATTTGAAGGTATAGATGTTTCAGATGTGTTGTGTCGTACCTATCCACGATCGGCACAAAATCGCTTTGCTCGGCGACAGTTTCACGTTTAACTGAGATAATACATAAATACCTAACTTCCTTATGAAACCTTAGCTGATTTACTGAAACCCAGGATTACATAAATCAAATCGTCTTAACAGGAGTGTTGTGATGTCATACTTATCCATTATTACCAATAAATTGGAGTTTTTGGTGACACTGTCAAAAAGGATTGACAGTAAAATACATTAAGTACAGTAAATATGTATTGCTCAGAAGTATTATACATTGTTTTCACTAATTCTAATCTGAAGAAGTCTGTAAATCTAGATCCAGGTGTATAGATTCATTATAACCAAGGAAGAAAATGTTGCAATTGCAATTGGTGAATGCCTTGGGCATGTTATAGGAATATACATAGTTCCAGTGCATCCTAAATTTAATAGAGAATGCCCTGGAAAACAGATTCAAGGGTACTCTTCTTCCCTACCACCAACCTCTCAAGGTTGCTTAGCTCAATGGTATTTTGTTTGTCCCCATGCTGCAAAGTACTCTATACATTTATAAACATCTATGCTTTCTTTAAGATTTGATCACAAGCCCAAAATTCTGACAGGCAGCTTGTTTATCGCCATGCCAAATAAGGTGATATAATAATGAATAAATATCTTGTATAATTCTTATAAAATATATATATACCACTTAACTCTATTTTACTTCAAGCAAACTTACATCTCTTGTTTGGCTCAGCTACTTCACTCCCTAAATAATTGATCGTTAAAATTAAAACTTGAATTACATACCTTTAGGATTTTTATTTTAATTTTTTCTATTTTTATATATTTTTATATTAATGTTTGCAAAAAAAATTTAATATAACAAAGATAGCAGCTTGGCACTCAACTTTACCTACATTAGCGCCATCTATATAGTTATTTAAAGAGCACACTTACTTCTCTTTAAAAACACTTTTGCAGACCCCCAATGCTCATATAGTAGGTAAGTTAGAATTAAAACTTACTATTTACTTGCTTTAAGTATTTCTTAAAATTTTTTATGTAGTATTTAAGTATTTTCTAGATATGAAATTATATTTTTAAGTGTATATTTGTTTTTTAAAAAATTGTGAATTAGTTCTTTTTGTTTCTTATTGGTTTATATGGATTATGTCTAGCTCTTTTTTTTTCTTTTTATTGATATGCATATTCTTGTCGGGGAGATTTCTGTAGACAAGGGTTTCTAAAATACTTGGTTTCTAGATTATTTTTTATATAAAAAAAAAATTTTTTTTTAATTTAATTTTTTAAAAAAAGTTTAATTTAATACTTGACTTTACTTGCTTGTTTCTCAAAAGACTTCATTAGTATTTTCCTTTTAGAACTTTAATTCTTAAATGCTAATTTCTAGGGGTACCACTTAATTGGTATTTCTTTTTAGACATTCTTCACTTTTTACTTTTTTGACTTTTGCCCTTGCCTGCAATGACGAAACACGAATTGAATGATTGGAGAGTTAGGTTTGGAGGCAACTTCCCCTTGATAAGTCTGTCTCCTTCCTGCTCAACAGTAATTCACTTGTGCATTTTTAAAAAAATTGTTTAGATTAATTTTAATTTGCTAAATTAGTGAATTTATTTTCATGGATTGGTTTTGCACTTGATTTGCTTATGCTTCTGAATTTAAATGATATTGTAGATTAGTTCGAGAATTAAATCTTTTATATGTTTGCACATTTTTCTAATTTTTTAAAAAATTTTTTGGCTTTAAATTTGCTTTTTTACTTTTATACGTATTTGTTAAAATTTAAATTTAAATTTCATTCCTTGCAGCAATGATGCAGAGAATTATTTAATTAAATTTGTATTTAAATTAAATTTATTTAATTAAATTCAATTTATTCTTATGAAACAATTTTATCTTAAATATTATGCTTTGAGCTAATACAACTTTTTTATTCTTTCAGAGGCAACCCTGTTTACCACCTATATTCCTTTTTGTTGTGGATACATGCATTGATGAAGAAGAGTTAGTTGAGTTAAAGGTACGTTGAATTAACATTCTTGTTGTCTGCTTAATGTTTGGAATTTTGTTTACATTATTGTATAAATGCTCATTATTTATTAAAAAAATATTAGTAATTGTAATTAATATGAATGTATAAACATGTAGCTAGAATGAGATTGAAAGATTTAGATATTTGACCAAGGAAAACATGTGTTTTTCATCAACATAACATTTAGGGTACAAAATTTTCATTTAAAAGAATAACAACTCCCGTAATTTCCTGAAAAAACGCCGCGGTGTTTACGTGTTTAAAACTTAAATTTTCAGCGGGTACGGCGTTTAGGTGCACTAAAAATAAAATATTTCCTATGATGGTCATTGTACATAGTTTGGATGGCCTTGTCATTGTGCATAGACTGGTGCTGTTCCCACACAAAAGACCACTCAGTTGCTTTTTGCAAATGTTATTTTGTTTACATTCTTTCCCTTGAACGGACCTACATGCCTTATTCACCCTAAACGAGATCTCAGAACAATAACATTCTTCCCCCTTTCAAATCAACATTCTCATCAGTTCGAATAGTCTCTCTCCTCTGCCATTCGATGAATCTTCCAGGACCCATCCTCTCCCCACCCCTGCCTTTTCTGCAATTTTTTTCAAAGGCGGACACGACTCCACCTGCTTCGCAATAACGAACTCTGACGTATTTCCCCTTCAGCATGAATGGATTTTTCTTGGTATTCTGCCAGATACAGATCCCATCAGTTTGGGTACAAGTACTTGTTGAATAGTTTTTAAGTAAGAAGGGAATGGAAGATTTTTTAAAATGTCCCTAAACGGCACACAAGCTATACTGCTGGTTTAAGCTTAATGTAATTTCACGTGCTGAACAAATTGGAAATCGAGCAGCAGCTCGAGACTTTGAAGTGGACGACAGATGTATTCGACAATGGAGAACTGAAAAAGAACTTCTTAAAAATATGCCACAACAGAAACGAGCCAAAAGAAGTGGTACTGTAAGGTGGCCAAATCTAGAGGACGACCTTGCAAACTGGATAAAGGAGCAACGAGGAAAGGGAATGGCAATTTCGACTGTAAAAATTCGCTTACAAGCAAAATTTATAGCAAAACGAATGAACATAAATGATTTCAAAGGAGGTGTAGCAGATTTATGAAAAGAAAAAATATTTCTGTGCGTACTAGAACAACAGTCGGGCAACAATTACCAATGGACTGGCAGTATAAAAAGTCATCTTTTCTAAAATATGTGCCAGCTATTATTGACAAAAAAAAAACTTCTTTGGTCGCAGATAATAAATATGGATGAAACGCCGTTAGCTTCCGACTCTCCTGCAAACAGAACTGTTGATGAAACTGGTGCAAAAACTGTATCTATGTTTATGATGGGGCATGAAAGAATGTCATTTACATGTGTGTTAGCTTGTGCCACAAACGGTGACAAGCTAAAGCGGATGATCATTTTTAAACGAAAAACTATTCCGAAGGGAGATGGTATGTCATATATCAGGACTTAGGTTGAGTTTTTGCATCTATACGGCCCACGACGATGTCACGCGCAATTTAATCTATTGCAGCATTTCTGTGTAATTTTAATTTTTTTCCCGCCATTTTTCTCGAGTGCGGCGTTTACGCTGATGCGGCCTTTCTTCCGGAAATTACGGTAATTCATTAATCAATCCTAAAATAATAGTTAAACATTAATACTTAAATTATTTATACAAATTTGAAATTCATTTTTAAATCTTTTAAATAATATTTTTATAACTGTGTTCTTGTTGAAATTTTATATCTTACAAACAACTGCATCATCAGTGTCTGTTTCATGTTATTCATCAATAGATTTTTGTTCTCAATTTTGTAAAACTTCTGATATCTTTTTTGATTAGCACCTTATGGTTCAAGAATTTTTTATAGAATTTACAGTGCTTTTCTGAATTCGGTTGATGACAGTAGGACTGGCATATGTATGTAGGACTGTAATTAATTGTAGATAAGATTGCTAGCCATTTGATGATGATTTGCAAAGAGTTGGATTGCTATAGATATATTATCAAGATGGCTCTTGGAAACCATATAATGAACAAGAACTGTATAGCTGAGCTAATACCAGCAATTCTTTCTCGAATCGCATTCAGAATAACTGTTGAACCCATTATTGAAGTTTTTGTAATTGTCACTTTTGCTTTTGATGCTGTGTGCATGAGTTCTACCATTTATATTGAATAAAATTTGTTAATTTATTGGTTATCTGTATAATTTTTTTAAATCTCTTATTTTCTGTAGTATACTTTTACAGTCAGTACATCTTACATAGTTATTTATTTCTTGCCTTCCTCATTGATGATTCTTCACTGCTTTTTGCTTCTAAAAAAATTCCAGTTTTTTTTCACTTAGAGTAAGCTTGTTATCAGCAGCAGTGACTCTCTCACTCAAAGAAAAGGAAATTTTAATTAAACATAAATTCCTGAATGATGTAAATAACAGAAAAGAAATTTTTCGTGCAGCAGTGATTAACACCAAAAGAAAAATTTCAATACAAAAATGTGCATGAGACTATTAAGGATGAAAAACATATACAGTCAAAAGTCGTTAATTCGGACACCCATAATCCGAAATGATCTATAATCCGGACCTCAAAGCTACAAACTTTCTGCGCATGCGTCGCCAAAAGACCTTTACGGCTGCGAATTTGCGTGTGCGAAAAATGCGTTTATGAATGCGTGTTTAATGTATAATGGACGGTATAAGCTAAGCTAAAATTATCTAATTATCTATTTCAGTTAATGTTGCGGATTGCGTTGTTCCTTAATCTTCGAATTGGATCCGGCTTATTATTTTTTGCAGACTGTTTTATAAAATTTAGCAATTTTATAAAAGTAAGCTTGAACTTTCGATTATGTCAAATAGAATTTCCGATATATATTTACTAATATGTAAAGGATCTACAAAGCGAAAGTATGTTTCTGAGTCCATTAAACAAAAAATGGAATTGCTGCAAAAAATGGATAAAGGCATATCCTTTGTTTATCTAAACTTTAACGTTTGTTTATCTAAACTTTGTTTATCTTTAACGCTGCAGCGTGCAATGAATTGAAGTTGATCTGTCAGCACTATCCTTATCTTGAGAGCACATGTTTTTATTTTATTTGGCTTATAATTACTTACTAAATGTAGTATTTCATCTCGATGTACTCTGTCTTTGATATGATTTAAAGCAAATGACTCTTCATTATACTTCGCTTCCGATAGCGAAGAAAGTGACAGAGGTTATTGAAACGAAAACATTTCAATTGACAAATTAGTCGGTATTCTTGACACAGCAATTATAGGACTTGAACAGCGGAACTTTGTAACTGGACAAGAAATTATGTCTATTTATAGAATTAAAGAGAATGTATTATCACATAAAAAACGAAGCAACTTAAACAACTTACATTGAAAGAAATGTTTAACAAAGTAAACAAATAAATATTAAGCTTTTTCTTTTTGTAAATTTTGATACCCTTTAGATCATAATTGTTCTTTATTTCGTAAATTACGATTTCATATTTTTAATTTTATAATTTCTGCATGCCATTTTACCAGATTTAAACTGATGATCTATAATCCAGAAAAATCGATAATCCCGAATCGCCGAAGTCCTGACGAGTCTGGATTAACGACTTTTGACTGTAAATTCTTTATTCAAGAACAAATAATTATGACAGCAATTTCATAGAAAGTATAAAAGGGTTAACAGGATGTTAAATATGACTATAGACAAAAATAAAAATTCTAAAAGAATGTGTTTCTGGAAATTTGTTTTTGTTAGGCTTGAGTTATATAGCAAAAATAGTTCATTTGCATTCTCTTAGACCTTTTATTTATGTTGGAAATTTCATGTGCATCCACTAGAATTATGTATGTGTGGATGGTAATTGTAATTGCATTGAAACAATTTTACTAAAATTGTTTGTATATTTTTTATTCAGGAATCTTTGCAAATGTCACTGTCTCTGTTACCACCTAATGCTCTAATAGGTCTCATAACATTTGGCCGAATGGTGCAGGTTCATGAACTGGGTTGTGAGGGTATTTCCAAGAGTTATGTTTTTAGAGGTACTAAAGATCTTACTGGCAAGCAAATACAGGTGAGGTTTCATGAACTTATTACATACCAGTTTTATATATTATTGTACAGTGTGTTTATATTTTGTGATAAAATCTATTTTATGTCCTATTCTTTAGATTAATAACTGAAAGATTTTTATTTTAGGACATGTTGGGTATTGGAAAATATGCTCAAATTCAGCAACCAGGAGCCCCACAGCAACCAAGAGGGCCTGTTGGTCAAACAGTACCTCCTGCTAACAGGTATCATGGCATTTAAAACTATTGAATTACTTTATGATTTAATGAAGTATTGATTTTAGTTTTTAAAATATGAAGTAAACTAATTTAACAATCTTGCTTTTTTACTGTCAACTAATTTATATGTGTAAAATTTTTTATACGTATGTATATTAGTATGCAAGATAAAAATTATGTAAATCAAAATTCTAACTTTAATTTGCAATCATCCCATATTATTTAATTTAGTTATTTTCCTTTTCTGTCCTAAAAAATGACAACTGTTTATAATAAAGTGTTTTAAATACATCATTTAAAAATTAACTTCATTTGAGTCTTATATAACGCTAATGATGCAAATGCTTATATTAATACTTAAGCTAATAATTTCAAATATGCAAATCAAAACTTAAATAATCAAAATGAAGGTGGACCATATTTAAATCGTTTTGAGCTAGGTTTTCATCTTGATGTCTCGCATTTTTTTTCTTATTTCTCTGCTATGAACTTGCTTGATGCTCTTTCCTTCATCAAAATCAGTTGTTAAGAAAGGTGTAGAAAAGGCACAAATGGGATCAAGAATAGGCATGACAATTGTGCTCATTCCATTGTGTAATTCATGTTGAAAATTTGCTTATTAAGAATAAAGTGTTAAATCGGTCACTATAGCTGTTAATGTCTTTTATACCCCAAGCTCCACCATTCTATAAGTCATGTTCTCTGCTCCATCAACAACTTCTAAATTGTTATCATATAACGTGCATTTCATATGCTTCCATGTATAAATTGAAAATTTTTAAATAATGTTTTGCTGTTCAAATTTGGAAGTTGGCTTCTACGGGATTTTGAAATGACCTGCAGATAATTCGATCGCAGAAATAAATAAGTAGAATAAATATTAGTAGTTGATATTAAATGGGAATTTTTTTTAATTTAATGATACTTATGTATTTTGCTTATGACCACTGTCAACAGTATCATTAACGTGCAATTTAGTGCAAATAAAAAAAGGTATAAATTTAACGATGATTTGATTTTGATTTTTAAATAAACTATCACTTATGACTGATCATTTGTAAATAAAATCTGATTTGGTTATAAACTTTATGGGTAGATTTTAATTATAATCAGTACTCCTTTTTATTATTATGTTCTCCCATACGGTGGTCAATGATAATCATACATGCTCATGTACACATCCATTCTCATGCTTTGATTTGAAAATATTGCATCGATCATAGTATGGCCTTTCACATAGTGTTTTGGATTTGCTAATCAATGACTTAACAATCATATTTTTAAAAGCAGTTTATCTTCAAGATTCCTGATAGTGTCCTAAGTATTGTCATACTTTTTTTTTTTTTTTTTTTAGTCATTTCTCAGTTTTTGATATCAATGTTCTGTTTTCTTAATAAGATAACCAAGTTTGTTATTCATTTCTTCTTACAAAAGATAACTTTCTTCACACTTGCACACATACAATTCAACAAAATCTCAAGATCTTTAAAAATCCCAATAGAGTTGTTGCCATATTTTTTTTATATTTACTATATTATTTATATCTGCTATTTTATTTTTTAAAAAATAATACATAATGATAACATTTCATGGCAGCAAGTGAAACGAGCCCAAATTTGAGTATCGAGACGAATGTGTTTAATTGCTTTATAATGAGAGCTTGTCTTCATAATGAGCTTATTTTTTTACATTTAGCATAATTCCAAGAATACATTTAATGCAATATGTTCCCAATCGTGTACGTGTTTTAAATACCAAATTTCAGAAGTTTTGGATCATCTCGTAATATATTTTTTACAAAAGTAAAATATCACTTTCGGTTTAGCCAAAATCTAATATGTTCTGGCCATTGATATAAAAGTCTTACTAAAATTAAAAAATTTTACATTATATTGTGATATAGTTTTTCATTAAAAGCTATTATAGATTTCAAGTAAAGTGCCACATCCAATTCTCCATTAAAGATTGTTGTAGATTTCACATAAAAGCCACTTCTGGTTATCCAAAATCTAATGAACTCTATATGAATGTAGAAAGCTTAAATACAGAAAAAAGAACTTTTTAAGAGTTTAATTTAAAAGTTTTTATGAACAAAACAATCATCACATGCATACATACATACAGAAAGACAGATTTTACATACAGATACATACAGATTTTTTGTTGTAAAAATAGTTAAAAAATTTTGTGGGGACTGTAATTCATGGTTATTCCCTGAAAACTTGCTGTTGAATTTTTGCACCGAAAACTTTGCATCGATTACCTTTGTGTGTAGGTTGTTGGGAAGAAGAAATATTAAAATTTTGAATATGATTTTATGGAACAGCAAGGCTTGAAGTCATGGATTGGATACTCAAACCATTAAAAGACTGTGAAGTTCAGCAAAATGGCATAGTAAAAGAGTTAATAAAGAAGGAAACAATTTTTATTTTTTTACTATTTTAAACTATGTTATGGATTTTTGGATTCTGTAATGATTTAGTAAATTTGTTTGTCACATAGTTTCAAAGTTTGAACTTATATTATATAAGTTTTTATATTCCATATTCATAACTTATATTTGTTGATTAGATAATTAAATAAAGAGTGATCTGTTCCTTCAAATTTCCATTGGAATGGCTTGATGTAATAGGGGGACTGGAAAGTAATGTCGCTTTCTTACATTAAATTCACACGAATAAATTTTTAACGCATTTTATTTTTAATCAATAATGTAATCACCCTCATTATCAACAACCTTTTGCCATCTAGTGTGCAAATTTTCAATCCCCGGACCGATATAAATCAATTGGTTTTTGAGTAAAATATCCCAAGATGGCATTTTGGACATCATTCAAATTTTTTGGCACTAAGAAAATGTTGTAGGGAGGGGAATAAATGGAAATCCGAGTGTACGATATCGGGCGAGTATGCTGGGTGATGCAACACCTCCCATCCCAATTCATTCATTTTTCCAGTGTCCGTCTTGCACAGTGTGGTCTTCATTGTCGTGTTGCAGAATGATGCCTTTTCTGTTGAACATCGCTGGATATTTTTTGATTAAAGATTGGTTCACTCGATCAATTGTTCACAATAAAAATCTGCATTAACAGTTTGTCCGGGTTTCAGCAATTCAAAATGAACAAATCCACAAGTACTCCACCAAGCACACAGAAGCACCTTTTGGGGATGTAAACCTTTTGTAACCCCTATTAAAACTGCCTTTTGCATTTTGGATTATCATATAGGACTCATTTTTCGTCTCCAGTAATCAAATGATCAAAAAACAGTTCTGTATGGTGCCGTTGAAGCAATACGTTGCATGTGATGGATCGGTTGGCTTTTTTCTCTTCAGACAGTATGGGGAACTCAAACACCTGCTTTGCTTGTTTTTCCATTCTGCTTTAAATGTTCTTGGATGGTCGACCAAGGTTGGTTAAGAGTGTTTGACATGGATTTGCTTCCACTTCTGCCCTTAGCATGTTGTCGACATGCGCAGAAATGACATTACTTTCCGGTCCCCCTATTAATTTTGGTGGTATATCTGCCAACTTGAAGGAAATACATATGCATCCATTTATTCATAATATGCCTTAACCAGGCTTCTCATTGTCAGTATCTGATTCGGAATTTCCTAGGAATTCTTAGTATCTCTCTCCGCTTCTGGCAAATGGGAGAAATAGCATCAGCCTTCATTTCAGCATTAACTTCATGATCAGCTTCCTTACAGATAATGTCATCATTAATTCACCCATACTATTGCTGATGCAAATTTTCTTAGTGTTCGGATAATTGTTTCCAGCCTGTTTTTTCTTAATGTTATCTCATGTAATCTGGTAAGTTGAGGTAACTTAGTTAACTGATTATTTGAACTTTTAGCATCATTTGGCTGAATTCAAGGTGATTTAATGCATAAGTTTTCAATTTTAGCTAATTTTTTTTCAATAAAATCTTACCTTTCAACATATGTATGACATGATTATATTCAGAAATATATGTTAATCATTTTTTTTTCCTGTTATGCGAGTGTAAAAAAGTTTTAAAAATATAGAAATTCTAATTAAAAATTAGAAAATGTAAACTGAAATATGGTAAAAGAAGGAAAATAATTTTTGGAGATTAAAAACACAAAAATTTGCTCCTAATTTTAAGGATTAAAAATCCTTATTAAATAATCATTCAAATTTCATATTATTTGTAGTTATAATTATAAGTAACTGGTAGTTAAATTGATCTTGATTTTTGATTATGTTATTATTTTGCCAGATTTTTGCAGCCAGTTCACAAGTGTGACATGAGTTTAACAGATTTATTAGAAGAGCTTCAGAGGGATCCTTGGCCTGTGCCGCAGGGAAAAAGACCATTGAGATCAACTGGTGTAGCACTTTCGATTGCTGTTGGACTCTTAGAGGTACTACAGGTTGCATGAAAAGGAAATCATGCATAATTTAATGTGAATGTTAAAAACAGGCATAGATAAATATTTATAAGAATTTAGTATATAACTTTATCCATGAAAATTAAAATTAGAAATAAACCATTGAAAACTCTTTTAATGGTTTATTTCTAATTTTAATTGCTGTGTGCATAAAGTTTATACTAATGATTATTTTATACCAGGGTAATAGCCAGTACCATGACTGTTTGCCTTAGACAAGTCTTGTGGAAACCTTATATGCTGCTCTGAATTCTTTACGGATTCTTGTAGAAAGATGAACTTCCCGTAAGAGAAGGGATATCCATGTCGAACATTGTGGGGATGCATTTTATTATGTCATGCTAATTTTTATTGCATGTTGTGTTCTTTTTTCACTTACCTTGCCAAAACGTTAAGAAAAAACAATCCATTATTTCCAAACATTTAGTATTTTACATCAAAAAAATTTTTTAAAAAAAATTGTAAGTGTTCTATTTTTTATACAACCAAATTGTGCATGTGGAAATGCACAGTGGTAATGTAATTTTAACAAAACTACTAACAAGTTGTAGAGCCATTAGGGTTTTTGATGCTGAGAGATGTGAAAAATGTGCAATGCCCTTTCCGGAACTCGAACCTCGACCTCTCGAATACACACTGAATGTGCTACCATTGCATCATGAAGTCGTACTCGAAGGAGGGATAAAATACCTTATAAGGTGTTAGAACTAAAGATTAGTTCAAGAGAAGTTGCTTCTTATTCAGCAGAGTTAACGGGAGGCAGAAAGGAAGTTTGAGAATAGCAATCATTTTGATGCAATTGCAAAACAGTACATGAAAATAAAAACAGTAAAAAAAAGTGCTTATTAATCTGCTGCCGTTGAAAATATATTTCATCATTGAAAGGCACTAATGGATTTCTGGCAGTATATTAGCAAGTATTGGGTAATACCAAAGTACTGACCACTTATTTTTGTACACCATTGTCATTTTAAAGTGTTAAACTGTAAATATAAAAGAATATTGTAATATGTTTATGGTTTTTTTCAGTATTGTATATTACTCATTTAAGTTTATTTTGTCTTCATTATATTTCTTTTACTTAAAACGTTTAAGCAGTGATATAGTTGTATTTCAATTGAAAACAAATATCGCATTCTTGTTAACGTTCGTGTGCAGAAAAATCATTACTGAAGAGAGTAGCGAAAGAAAAGTAGAAGATTTAGCCAGCTTCATGAATAAAAAAATAGCTTTGAATTAGTTAATGAAAATTAATTGCATTTGTAAATTATATCAGAATGGTGGTATAAAACCATATTGAATGGAATCTCTCGAGTGTTAGCCCTGTTGTTTAGAATATTATTCATTATTTTATTCTATGAATGTAAAACGTGATGCTAACAATGGATACTCAAAAGTTTAGAAGCATTTCATGAGGTGGGACTTAGGATGTCAATAGGATATAATATACGCTAATATTCTTAGTTTTTTACTTTGTTATTGTACAGAAATAAGTACAATCTGGAAATAAAATCGTTATTATTCATATTGCACTTAATCTGCATGCTTATTTTAAGTATTGGGTTCTTTGCATATTTTTGCATTGTTTATATTATAAGAAAGAATGTTTGAATATTGTCTGCAAAAACCCAAATATTTTAATAAAAAGCAATTTTTGTAGGAATTACTTTTTCATGTAGGCTTAATTGCAAAATGCACTCGGGTGCACAGTGACATTCAGTGCTCCAAGGTCATGAATGCACAGAACAAATGCACTCTCTCGACATTGGGAGTGAAGAAGTTAACTGGAAGTATGCAGATTAAAATACAATAAGTTTTAATAAAGAAGAAATACATTAATCTCTTGATGTATGGTTATGGTTTTCACTTTAACATTAATAGATCTTTGCTCTGCACTTTTTCATGCAGTTTATTTTAATTTGCAATATGTGTTATTTTCATATTATTATTTTGGCCCACCAGCGGCCGAGCGGTAAAGTCGCTGAACACTGGTAGTTCGGTCCGAGGTTCGAATTCCGCGAACGGGCTGGCTGCATGGGTGTTTTCGTGGTTTTCCCCATGTGTAACGTGCATACAAGCCAGTTTCCCTTAGAAAATCCTCCAAAAAGGCATCCCTCCTCTTAGGCAGATAGCCCTAGTGTGCTTTGTCATAATTAAATACACCACCATATTATTATTTTTATTCTTCACACATTTTTATGGGCTGTCAGCTGGCTATAAGTGTGAAAAACTCGCAGTATTAAATACTTTCTTTATATTTACAAAAGAAAGCTTTAATTATTTTATACACACACATACATGAATGCATGCAGTCAAGCTTTAGTCTGTTCTTTTTGTAAAAATACCATTGTTGCTTTTCATATATCAAAAAGTTAGGTGTTGGTAGATACTATCGTAAACAGAATGCATAAAAGTGTTGAACAGGTTTTGGTACTTTTTTGTAAGATTTCATTAAAAACTCCTCATATTTTTTAATATGTATTCACAGTTTAAAAATATTCATGAAGCTTTTTATTTATTCCTAGTTATGAACATTATTTTCTTTTCTATAGTGTACATACCCAACTACAGGTGCTCGTATAATGCTGTTTGTTGGAGGACCTTGTACTCAAGGACCAGGTGCAGTTGTGGGAGATGAATTAAAATCAACAATTCGTTCTCATCATGATATTGAAAAAGATAATGCCAAATATATGAAGAAAGCAATAAAAGTAAACTTAATTTTTATGCATAAAAATGTTTTGTTTAAAATTCTACTTAAATTATATTTTTTTGTCTGAAATTTACTTTTTTAGTTTCCATTAATGTATGTATTTTTAAAACTGCTTATCACCCTGAAAAATTAAAGCAACCAATTCATATAAGATGTGTAGAATAGTAATTATACTGAATCTTTGTCATAGAATATGATTAAGAATAGAAAATTATCAGATATTTATGAAGTTTTTGTGTTAACATTTTTCAGGAAAATTTTTCATTCTATTAATGTATTTTTTTCTTTTGGTCAGAAATGATTTTTTTTAGAAGTTGTTTATCAATTGTATTGAAAATTTTGTTGCAGCTATGAAGTTAAATTGGTTATAATTTGCGGTTTTATAACCTTGACATTGCTAAATGGCCTTATCAAAAAAAAAAAAATTATGCTAATATTCTTTTCATTCTCACTCTTATGCATTTATTTAAATATTTTTTAATTTAAAAATTTTCTTTTAATGATGTGTACAAGTATTTTAGAAAATTAATGCTATTTTTATTTATTTACATGTTGTACTTAAATGAATTCCAAGAACTAATTAAGCTGTAGAATATGTAAATTGATATATTTCTAAATATTGATTTTTATGTTACAGCATTATGAAAATTTAGCTGGCAGAGCTGCTGCTAATGGTCATATTGTTGACATATATTCTTGTGCACTTGATCAAACTGGTTTGCATGAGATGAAATATTGTCCTAATTTTACAGGGTTTGTACCTTTTTAAACTTCTTGCAGATTTTATTTTTATGTAAGTTATTGGTTAAATATTGAGAAATTGACCAAAATTTTGAAATTACATAGGAAGATAATTATGAAATTTTCAACTAGGTATGCTTTTGTTGCCGTAATTTAATTCATTGTATAAAATTTATACTGCTTATAAAAGATTTGTTTTGGAATGCTCAAGACTTGGAACATTAATAAATCATTTTTTTATTTAAACTTATCAGTGACAGTTATCGTTAGAATATATTCTTTAAGTGAGAGATAAAAGCATAGATTTAAAATAAATGCATTTATATATTTGTTCAATATTTAACTAAGTTAGGAATTTAAAATTGAAATCAGTTCATTGTGGAAATGTTTTTCTGAAGTATTTCTTTGTATTTTAATTTCAGTAAATAGAGTAACTTTTATCAAATTATTGTTTTTCTATTAAATACAGAGTAAAATTTTCCAGTTTATGATATTTAAAAAGTATACAAAGACATTAAATTTTTATGAAAATGTTCTTTCTTTTAAAAGAAAAGAAAAAAATTTTAAAACTATAAAAAGTTTTACTTGAATTATGTGTTAAGTACTGAACCTCTGTAACAAAAGAATTGATAACGCATGCAACAGCTGTAAATGTCCAAAATGCTATATTTAAGTTCTAGCCAATGCTTTTATTTCAGGTTTTTTGTATAGTAAAATCTCAATAATTTGCACTCATTTTGAATTGAGAAAGCAAAATTATGGTTTTAGAAAATTTAGCATGCAAATTTAACAGCATTACCTCTCCCCATTATATGTGTATGCAAAGAAATGTTTTTGACAACAATTATTTTGTTTGAAGAAGTAAATTTGTTGTATAATTTTACAGTTATTTAGAATTTTCTGTACACATGTTTACTCTGTCTTTTTATGATAAACAATGAAAATGAATTTCTGCAAATTTTAAATCTCTACTTTTTCATATTATCCTTCTATCCCACTCTCCTTCAATATTAATTTTGAATTTATATGGCGCTGTATAAGGAATTCATTTGTCTACATATTTTCAGAAAAGGAACTCCAACCTAAATGCACTGTCATGGCTAGTTCATTTACAATATTATACACTGAAGAAGCTCATTTATACTGACAACAAATTGAGTTAGATTCTTAATAGTAGTAGTTAGAGACTTTTTTGACAATAAAAATGGAAAACATAGTAGATGAAAGTTAAAAACAGAAATTTTATTTAATTTTATTTAGTGTTTTTTATAATTTAAACAGATATTAAGTAATTTAATAAATTCAAAATAAATCAAATATGATATTAAATAACTTAATAAACTTTTTGTCATGCTGTTGGTGTTATTTATCAGCGATGAGCTATGAAGATTTTAACTAAGGATTTGCACTTTATCTTATAAAAACAAAATAGCTAATCCTAATCAAATGTTTTACTTTTTATAAAAATTCAAAACATATATAATTGTGCATAGAAAAGAAAATATTTTAAGATTAAAAAACTTTAAAGTTTTAAAAATAAAAAAAAAATTGCATCATGAATCGCATACAAGTCAATTTAAATGTATGGCACAATTTATACAAGAAGTTGCTACTCATTATTTTCTTCTTGATATCAGTTCATCATCTAGAAGTACAATTAGAAGGCTGTGAGGCTAAACAATAGCTTTTCAAAGTTTTTTTACATGAAGTTGAGTTTTCAGTTCTCTTAAAGATTTCCTATTTAAGGAGATTATCATTTAGTCTGATATGTTGTGCAGTCATTGAAAATGCCACATCCTCCAGTCTTTTAATGTGAAACTAAACTACTGGTCTTCATCCCATTATCTTGATTTAAGCAGTGCGATGTTCAGTGATAAATTTTTCAAAAACAGCTGTAATTTTTCTGCACTTATATATATTTTATCTACAGTGCATTTGACTGGATTTAAATAAAACCATGTAAAGACCTAGTTCTGAGAAAGAGGAAAACCAACATAGATCAAAGTATGGTTATCATTTATGATGTGTGACTTGAAAAACTTTTTTAAACAAAAGAACAAGGAGTTTTTAATTAGAGACAAAGTAACAAAGGACTCCTGCGAGCACTCTTACAGCCCACTGCTGTTATTAATTCTATTGTGCATGTGCAAATGCAGTGGGAGACAGCACTGGAATTCAATTCAATTCTTTTAATTTTTTAAGGCCTTTTAAAATATATATATATATATATTTAAAGTAATTTCACTGGTTTAGTGTATTTTTCAAAAGAATTCTTTACTTCATCAAAAACTATCTATCATTTATCCCTTTTGCTCTCCACTAAATGTTCTCTTTATACTGACATTATCTTCTGTGTTTATAATTATATTTAAAAATACAATAGTATCGGTGTAATAGTATTTATAAAATATAATATATAATTGTATATATAAAAATATAATAGTATTCTATAAATCTTGATTAATTAATGTTTCAATTATTTATTTATGTGCCAGCAATTTAATTTTAAAGTAAAAATTATGAAGGGAAGATATATAAACAAAATTTGGAAAGACACGGCCTATAATCTGCAAAATTTTCTATTTTGTGCAATATGGATTGTTGGAATTCTGTGATATTTATACAAACTGGAATTATGTGATTGTTTTTTATTATTTGTCTCCTTCCAGAGGCCATATTGTTATGGGTGACTCATTCAATTCGTCTTTATTCAAACAAACATTTCAAAGAGTATTTGCTAAAGACCCTAAAGGTGAATTTAAGATGGCTTTTGGTGCAGCATTAGAAGTCAAAGTACGTATTCAGGTTTTCATTGATTTATTTCATTCATTTCATGTATTAATTTTATATACATATATATATGGGAAAGTATTTATTGCTTCTGTACTTAATATTTCTTGCAGACATCTCGTGAATTAAAAGTATCTGGAGCTATAGGATCATGTGTTTCATTACACAGTAAAAGTAACAGTGTGTCAGATACTGAAGTTGGTATTGGTGGAACTTCTCAGTGGAAATTTTGCGGTATCGGCCCTGGTAATACTGTAGGCATTTTCTTTGAAATTGTGAATCAGGTAAATATAAATATCCGTAGATCTTAAACATTCAGATAAATATTTTGATTCTTTTTTGTTAGAGCACCACTTGGCTTCAAGCATAAATGTTAGTGTAAAATTTAAGTAGAGATAAGAATGTCAGACCTAATGATATATACAGTTTTGTGAAAATAAAAGCTATTTAATAATATAGCAATTCACAAATAAGAATTCCTGTAATTATTCCAGTCAACAGCTGTATCCTAACTACAACTGGAAGGAGTATGCGAACATGATGTTGCCAAGCAAGTAAAGCAGCTGGAATGTTTTCCAATTAAATTGCTGTAAAGTAAAACTCCATATATCAGTGACAAAAGTTTTTTCTCTGGTAACCAACCCGTTCTGAAGCTAACACATTTATTCCATTTATTTGTTGTCTTGTATGTGATCTATAGTTTCTGTGCTAATCTAATTTTCTGTACCTTTTTTTCTTCCCAAAAAATAAACAGGAAGAGAAATTTATTTTGTAAGAAATTTCAAACAAAGATGATCATGTTTGTTGAAAATTCTAACAACAGGATGGCTGCTCAGCATTTCTCCATAAATGAAAAATAAGTTAATAAGTTTAAATGAAAAATAAAATAAGACTGGAGAAAGAACACTCAAATACACAAGGGTGCAAATTTCACCAATATAAGATCTTTCATTATTATGATGATGCTGCAAACTAGCATTATAAATAATTTCAAAAATAAAATAATTCATAAACTCATTCCGTTTGAAACTAACTTTTTTTATAGGAAATATAAACTAAACATATAAAGTAGTACAAGGTTTAGAAATTTAATTTTTAACATTTTACTTTTGTTCCCATGTTCATTTGTTTTGGTTCTTATTTTAAATGTTTGTTCTATTTATTATATTTCGTTGTTCTTGTGTGATACTTGAGCTGTTTTACATGTTTGGATTGATCCTTCCAATAAAGCCATGTAACAACAACATGTGTAGCAATTTATGACTTGTATCTGACTATATATATGTTATGACTTGTATCTGATCGAAAATTATGTACATTTTTTGCAAGATAAGGAGACTTGTATATAAGCTGTTCTCCATAACTTTGCTTTTGAAAAAGTTCCAAAAATTCTCAACTTATACATGGAAATATATGGTATATATAGAGAGAAAGAGAGAGCAACACCACATTCACATGTACGTGGTCATTTGCTTAAGTGTACAAACTCAGGGAGGGGTAGGTTACTCAAACACAATTCAGAAATATGTAACAACATAGGGTGGAAATGCATTTGTAGTGCATTAGAGGCATTGTAGTGAAATACGTAAAATCTTGCATGAAATTCGGTATTCAGCAATCAACTGCAGAGAAAGTAGGATGGAAGGTTTCAGTAATTTTGAGTTAGCAGATACACGTCTAGGATATGGAGCAGCTGACTGTAATGGGTGAACCACTGTGCACAATACAGTGAGCTGTACTCAAACAGGCAGATTTCAAATCACCGGATGTTGGCATGACTGCGTCAAAGATTGTGTGATATAGGATATTTCAAGACAAGTCAAAGGAATTAGGAACCAAAGACACATAGACCTAAAGTAGAAAATATGCTGCTCCATTATGCAGAAATGAATCCACATGTCAGCTTACAAGTAATTGCTACAAACCTTGCTGTCTCCAAACCATTCATCTGGAGAATCCTGTGCTTGAACCACTTGCATCCATAGCATGCAAGCACGTACTGCAGCTGCTTCCTGCTGATTACACACAACATTTGCTAAATAATTTAAGCAAAAGTATATTATGGAACCCAATTTTTTTTATCCTTTTTGCCTACAAGGCATTTTATAGCAGGCAAGGCTGTTATAGGGCACATAACACCCATGTAATGAACAGTGGATAACTCAAGGAGGCACTAGAATTCAACATTTGGTCGTGGTGATTCTATTCATTAATCTGCATAGTCCTCCATAGCTTTTTTTCTCTGGTGTTACCTGAAAAGCCTGGTGTATGAAACATTCTTGGCAGGCACTTTAGCATAGCTGACACGATCATCTGATCATTCTTGATACTGTTGGTATATTCCAAAAAGTCTGATTTTGTGCTGCACTGGTGACATGCTTGCATCTTAACTAATGGTTGTAACTTCGAACACTCACTGTGACCTCTGAATATCACTACTATAATGATGTGCTGGTTAAAGTATTATTATTCACATTACTCTCTCTTTCAATTCTTGTGTTTTCTTTTCTGCACATGAAGGTTGTGTTTCCACCTTACATTGCTATATAATTCTGAACCATTGTTTAGTAACCTACCCATCCTCGAGGTCTGTGCATGAATCACCCTGTAAGCTTAATATTTAAGGAACAAAAGCATCTAGTCTTTTTTTTTTTTTTTCTTAAATATCCTGTGATTATTGTTGAAATTGAGGTTTAGAAGGATGAATTGATGAAATATTGATTATAGTTTGTGTGAAAATTAAGCATTGCTTAAAATTATTTGAATCAAATATTTGTTTTTCTGTAATTTGAAAAAATGCATGTATCTTATAATTTTTGTTTTTTATCTTTCTTTTTACAAACTTAGCATAATGCACCCATACCTCAAGGTGGTAGAGGCTGTATTCAGTTCATTACTCAGTATCAACATTCTAGTGGTCAGAGGAAGATTCGAGTTACCACTGTTGCTAGAAAGTAAGTATAGCATTTTGTACATACAGTTAGTAAACTGGAAGTATTCAAAATGAAAAGCATTTCTGAACTTTCATAGCAAACATAAAATTCCATAAAGCAATTTGATCTTTACATTTAAATTGTATGCAGTGGAGAAAATTCACTCCCTCATGTATAAAATTTTATTTGAACACATTTGCTAAATTGCAGCTGTTCTTTTTACACAAATTAAATTTTTATATATCTATGTGTTTTTATGCAAAATTTACTCGTCATTCAACTATGATTCATTTCATAGAAGCATGATAGCAGTATGGAAGATAAATATTATAAAGATAGCTGTCCATTTATTAAACAAATATTACCATTTATTAAATATACATTAAATTACTGACTATCAAATCCCCACCTAAACTGTTAATGTAATAGGTCATTTATAAATGGCAGACATTTCCTGATAGTGTTTCATCTCAGAGATAGGTTTTTCCTACTTTGAAATAAATGGAATTTGTTAATTTATCTGCCATTATCGTGTTTTCATTTTTCTGTTAACTTTTATATTCACAAACTCTTTAAATTAGTACTGAAACTTTTTTCAAACTTTTCTTGCAACCTAAAGTTTATTCCTTTTTGGGGGGAGTGGGGTATATTTAGGGTTTTAAGTTCATTTGATTAAAAAGGTTTTGTGAATGTCTTTATAAGAATAATGTTTGATTGTTTTATAAGTTCATCATTTGTAAATAAATAGTTTTCTATTTTTCCTTAAAAAAAGTATGATTTTTATCTTGCAATTTACTTTTAAGATATATGTTATTTCATAAAAAAATTAATTCATACCATTATATTACTTGTAGATGAAAATGTCAAAATTTTTTTTTTTTTTTTTTTTTTTTTTTTTTTTTTTTTTTTTTTTTTTTTTTTTTTTTTTTTTTTTTTTGTTTTTTTTTTTTTTTTTTTTTTTTTTTTTTTTTTTTTTTTTTTTTTTTTTTTTTTTTTTTTTTTTTTTTTTTTCTTTTTTTTTTTTGTTTTTTTTTTTTTTTTTTTTTTTTTTTTTTTTTTTAATATATGTATTTTTTTTTTTTTAAACTAAGTAGGTAATAGTTTATGCTGTGAAGTATGCATGGGGATTATGTAAAGGAAAATTTGCTTACCTTCTACATGATTATGAATGTATTATTATCTTAATATGATAGCATACCTTTCAATTTTGAATAGTTTGACAGTATGTGGATTACAGTTCTGTGGTATGCAGATAGCAGATTTGTCATCCATTTAAGCATTTAAGTAATTAGTATATTTTCTTTTATATGGAGTTTGAAATTCGAGAAAATTTGTAGCATGTCCCCCCCTTAAATATTAAAGTTGTGCACTTGAAGCTACAGAATCTCATAAAATATGGTAGAGAATTTCATGGAAATAGTTTTATCATTGTGGAAGTGTTTTGTAAATATAAGAGCTTTTATATGGCTCCAATAAATAAAATATTCGTTTCATGCTAAGTTATATTCAAAACATTTTATGTAGAAAATTTGGGAATGAATTTACTGTCTTAGATCACTTTCCAATGCTCATTACTTACCAAAATTCAGTTTTTCAGTCAGATTCTGTAAATGGAGGATCTGGAAAACAAAAATAGTTACTGCAATCCTTGTTTTTTTTTAACCAAGTATTTTGTTCACTTCATATCTGAAAGAGTTATCAACCCATAGTTCTGCTGTCCATCTGCTAATGACATGTTGTTCAAGCTTGTCTTTAGAAATGTAACATCTCACTAGTGGCCAATTAATTAAAACTATTGAACACTGGGAGTTCAACTTAAGTTTAATCTCAGACAAACTGGCTGGCTGCAGTTGGTTTTTGTGATTTTTGTGCAACATGGATATGAGCTAGTTTCCTCCACAAAGGATTAACATATTAAATTGATTTTTTCCCCTTTCTTTTCCAAATTAAGATAATTCTGTTTATTTTGAAACATACAAGTAATATATATTGTGAATGGTAGTTTACTGTTATAAATTTCTTTTGAAAAATAAACAGTTTTGTCCAGAATTTGGTATTTTCTTTTAAAAGCCCTAATTGCTCTTTTGAGTGGTTAAGATATATTTTCTCTGTATATAGTCAGTTCCAAATTAATTGCTAGTTAATTAACCGAGCCTTACAGAAAAAGTCAAGTTTGTTTATTTTGAAACAATGGAAAAATTCCTGTTGCAAACTCTCAGAATAAAGCAAAAATTTCTGATGAAAAATGCAAAAAAGGAGAAGAAAATGTGTGGGATGACAACAGTGATAGCACCACATTACAATATATAGGAATTATTTTTGTCCACAACATTGCATAATTTAATTTTACATAATCTGGAATAATGAAAATGATTGAATCATCATTAGTGTTTCTGCAGTTGCAAGATTAAGCAATTCCTCTTCCCAAATATGTGCGATATCTATCAGTCATAAATCTGTAATATGAGTATGCGTTCATTTGCACCCTCCGCAGTGTGTAACTGGAGCTAAGCTCGTTGATAACCATCAAAAGGATAAAAATAAGTCCCTAAATCATAAAATTAAATAAGCAGCTATTAATCATCTGTTTCCTATTTGTTTCTATCAAAATACAAGACTAATCTAAACAAAAGCATTGTCTTTTCTATTTTTAAGTATGTTTTTCTTGTTTTGAATTCTGAAATACTTTATATAACCAAATGAATTGATTCTCCAAACTAAACTGCTTCAAATTCATATAATAATACTTTCTATTAACTATACTACAAGTTCTCTTTCTTTTGTTTTTCTTATCTGTTAATATTGCCATTGAATTAACCATAATTTAAGATTTACCATGGAGACGTCTTCCTCAATTATTACCCTGGTTAATTAGTAGTCATATATATATGTAATGATAGCAAACCATATTTGAATAGTTGGTGATAACTTTTAGATTGATGAATTTGCAGATACTATTTTACAGAAATCCAACTGAGGAATAAATGTTCCATACAGGTTAGTAGCACGTAATCCAGTCCTGTTGGCCTAAAAATGCAATAATAGAACATTTAAGTTTTTCTCTGAAATATTTTTCAATTTCATTGAATTTAGAATAAGGTATATTGACAGATTCACTGAAATTAACAATTTCCACATAGGCGAAATACGTAAGAAATTTATCTTTTAAAACTTTCCAGTCTAATTCAGCACACTCTCTGAAAAAATGCCAGAGCTTCACCACATATGCAGTCTGAAAAAGAAAGAAAAAAATGGAATGAAAACAAGAAAAAGACGGAACAGCGTCGATGTGTAATACCTAGATAGGACAGATCGCAGATCCATATTGAAGAGGAAGAAATCTGATTGCGTAGCATGCTAATGTTGAAAGTCGAGGCAGTTTTAATTCCGTTCTTATTTTCCAGTTGACGTTTGTGGCCACAATCCTTGGTACTCTACTTGTACTTATTCAAGAACATTTACATTTTTGTTAACTGTTGTGATAGAAAGCACAGCAAAATTATGTCCAAGCAGTGCACAGAGAAAAGCTGAAATGCATAAATATCCAATATGAAAGCTTGCCAAGAGGAAATTTTTGGTTTACTTTCGAAAAATTTCCCAAGAGTTACGTCACCAGTTTTGCGTAGTTCATGGAAGGTAGAATGATCTAGAAATTATGCAATCCAGAGAAGTTATTACAATTTTTATAACAGAGAGGGAGAATTAAAGGTTTATCATTAATTTAAATTATAATTTTGATTTACATATTTTTTATCTTATATATCCCCCCCCCTCTTCAAAGAGTAAAAGTCTTAGCGACAGAAAAGCCATTTTAGAAGAAAGCATTACAGCAGTAGAATACTTATACATTTTAATTTGAATATTTTCATAAAGTAGTGCTACATTACATTTTCAGATTTAAAAAATATAACCAATTATTGAGCAAGTTATTTATAATGATGGACTGAAGAGAAACTCAAAAAATTTGTTAATTCCATATGTATTTAGATTCACAATTTGTGCCTACAAAAGTGAATTTAAATAAAAAATCGAATTAAAACCGCCTCGACTGCCATGTTCTTAGTCTTTATAAAGTCTACATTTTAAGTACCAAGTATCTACGCCATCAGTATTTCTACATATCTACATCTCAGGGGTCTTACATCAATGCTTCCAAAATTGTGCTTTTATTACATATATATGCCTTTTATTTGTTTCATAGTAATGAGGATAATTTTTATAAATACGTAAAATTATTCAATTAGTCGTATTTAATTTGACAACTAGCTCGTTGCACTTAATAAGAGAAATTGGTCCATTTGATTATGGAAATTAAAAATTAAATTTGGAGTAGAAACTCATTCATTTTCTTTCACTCACCCCTCCTACCCATAGTACTGAAATAGTTTTCATAAAAGTATCTATTTTATTTTAAGAAATTATGTAATGTCTATAATCACTATTTAAAGAAATAATTCTTGCGGCCACATTTGTAACACCATGCTTAGCAATATTTTGTGTTAAAAGTGTTCTGTTTTTATCTGATAGTTTAAATATTAGTAATTATCCTTCTCACATTTGTTTTAATTAGTTGGGCTGATGCATCCACCAATATACATCACATATCTGCCGGATTTGATCAAGAGGCTGCAGCAGTGCTTATGGCACGACTCGCTTGCTTCAGAGCCGAAGGAGATGATGGGGCCGATGTTCTACGATGGCTAGACCGAACTCTAATTAGATTGGTAAAATTATTCTCACCTTGTTTGTGCTCTTTATGAATAAATTCATTACAAAATATGAAGTTTCTGCATATTTTCTCTCGTATATTTTACTACCATTATTGCTGCAAAGGCAAAACGTTTTGGGGTACGGACAGTTGCAAGTGGTTTCTTTTAAAACTAAAAAGTGTCAACTTGTATTGCTGATCAAAATGTAGTTTATGAAGGGAATATTATAAAAAGCATTTTATGTAATTTTCTTGTAAATAATTTTAGTGCAGTCGTACTTTACTCCTACTTTATCTAACTTCAGAAATTATACAGTAAACTCTTCTCGAATACAGGGTCTGTGTTATTAACCCATCATACATATGGCAAAATGCATTCCTCAAAGTTAACTTTTTGTAGAAAAAAAACGGTTTAAGTATAGTTCAGATTAAGAAAGTATGTATAATTTATGAAACCTAAATGATATTTTAATTAAAAGGGTGAAATGAATTGTGTTAATATAAAGGATTTATGAGAGGTAATAACTGCAAAGTTTCCAATATCTCTCATGAAGTGTCCTTCTTTTCTTCATTTATGTCAATATCCATTACAAAGTCAGCCAGTTCTTGTGTAACAATTTATTTAACTTCTTATATATTGAAGGCTGTTTGTCTTTTCCGTTGCTTTCACCTACGACTTGTGTTATAAGATCATCCAGTTCTTCATATGTCAGTTCGCAGCCATCATTCTGTATTAATTATTTGATTTCTCCTTTTTCCATACCTGAAAATCCCTTGTCTCATATTACTATTGAAATCTGTACTTTTTTTTTTTTTTTAATCGTCATTGTTGATAAATTCACTTGTTCCCATGTGAATTTAGTCATTTCTTTGCAGTGTCTTATGTAGAATTACTTCTAAAAAGCTGTTGGTGAGTCATCCTTCATCTAGTGCTTTATTAGCAGAGATGTAAATATAGCTGATATAATAGCTTTAAATGTTTTTATGATTCCTTGATCTATTGGTTGGATTAAGGAAGTGGTGTTTGGTGGAAAAAATGAAACCTCTACATTTGAATGCAGTGTTCTGTGGACTATAGCACTGTGATCTGCAGCATTGTTGAGAATTAGGAAAACTTTTGCTTTTCTGAGTGATATTTGATTTCTTTAATGAATAAACTTTCAAACCAATCATTAAAGAGGGCTTTTATTAACCAAGTTTTTTTGTTCCACTTCCATGTAATCGGCAGTAGCTCAAAATTTTTCCCTGCAATGCATGAGGAATTTTAGTTTGATAAATGAGCAGAGGTTTGGGCTTCAAGTCACTGAATGCATTTCCATAAAAAAGCAAAGTGAGTCTATCCATAAAAGCTTTAAAACCTGGGGCAACATTTTGTCTTGTAGATTTAACAAAACCTGTCATGTAGGTTCATTGTTCCATTCATTTATAAAATAGAAACATCTTGTATGCATTGAAAACTTGTTGTGGAATGTAACCATTATGTTCCATTAATTTCAAAGATTGAGTTCTGAGTTCTAAATTTCTCTGCTGCTGCTTTATCTGCAGAGCCAGCATCTGTGTGGAGCTTTTTATTGTGCAAATTAAAATGATGCTTAAAGTTCTCAAACCAACATTTGCTTGCTTGAAAGTCAATTTTCTCCGAAGATTGACCATCTTTATTTAAAATGAAAGAAAACAAATCTAAAGTTTTGTTTTGAATAGTAGCACTATCCATCACTAAAGCATTTTCATTTACTTGATTTTCAATCCAAGCTATTAATATGTTTTCAATCAGAAAATAGAGAAAATTAGCTTGAAACTTAGTAATCCCCCTTATCATCTTTCATTCTTTTAGATGTCATGTTGAATTGAATTTTTAAATTAAAAGGCATACAAAGGATAAACACTTATAAATATCTGATTACAGCTTTGTTAACATGAGTGAAACCTGGGTCACTCAGCTAATGGGCATCACCAATAGGTTATGCTTTTTTTAATGATTGAGTTCTATGATGCCACTTACAGTAATTTCCAAAATGAAAACAAAAAAAAAAAAAATAATAATAATACCTTTGAGCTGACTTATAGGGCAGAGCCACGCACCGAAAGATTTGTCATTGGGAGAGTAAATCTTTTTATATGCCTGAAGTTTGATAAAGAGTATATAGTTGTCATAATGTGGCTGATGCTCTGCACTGAAATTCTCACGTTGGAGAAATTAAGTGGAGACAATTAAGGAAGTACATGTATATAGAATTGCATTTAAAAAGGGTATTTACTGTAAATTCAAGCACTTGAAAATAAAAATTAAGTTGTATTAAAAAATGTGGATAATTTTGCAAACACTCAAATTTTTCTGCCATTCTCCAAATCTCATTTTAGATATAAAATATAAATTGATAATTATAGCATACTTAATGTATTCCCACTTTATGAATCAGTTCATATAAGAAAGGTATTCCTGTATGTAGAACACCATAGAACAAGTTTTGTGAGTCTGTGATGTCAATCTGCTTGGAAAAAGCCAGATTTATAAAATTTGGCTTTAAAATAGCCAGTTTGTAAACCTTCCTGTTAAATAGTCTAATCTTATTTATTCTTTGTATGTCTAAGAATCAAATCTAATCAAATGCTTGCATTATATTTTGTAATTTGTTTAGATTTTAACTTAATTAACCTTTTGAGCGTTATGACCGGGTTTATCCGGTCATCAGAAGTTTTGCTACTTGGTATATATTAGCTTATAATTTAAGATATTTTGTTTTCTTACTTTCTTTAATAATATAAATATCATCTTAATGAATGTAAGTTTATGAAAATTTACACTAAAATAAATAATTATGCAAACCAAATTATAATGTATGCTGTTTAAATATTGGTCTTCATGATGGATCTAAAATCCTGTGCCACTCAGAGGGTTAATAATTATATATAGAAATTTATTGCTTCGGGTACAATTTCTCAGATCTAATGCTTGATATTTAATATTCTTTCAGTGCCAGAAGTTCGGAGAATTTAATAAAGATGACCCAAGCTCATTCCGATTTTCTGAGAACTTTTCACTGTATCCCCAGTTTATGTTTCACTTACGAAGATCACAGTTTCTACAAGTATTCAACAATAGTCCAGACGAAACTTCTTACTATAGGTAAAAGTATATGGTTTATGAATTATTACATTTTAAGGCCATTATATGTATTGTTACATGCCTATGGGTTCATATTGGATTGAACAATTGACGAAATTTATTTTCATGAAAACTCTTCACAGTTCTGAAACTTTTCACTCAAAAGTACTCATACTGAGTATGACAAAGTGCAATCAATAGTTACCACTTCAAACTACTAAGAATCCTGAACACAGTGCAGTGCAAAGCACATCAAAAAGCAAAAGCTTGCACGGTGAAATACTCTCAGCTAAAACTGAAAACTAATGCTCTCTCTAGTCTTATCTAGTTTTTCCCTATCCACATCATCATCTAGCCATTTACCTCAATCTTAATGGATTTAGCCCTGCAGCACTATTTTTCTGGTGGTCATTTTTGCATTCTGAAGCCTTTCATGTTACATTAGACAAGAGATACTGCAATTTACATATAATTTCACTAAAATTATTTACATGTATAAAAAATTTGTAACATTGCCTCTTCCCAAGGGCAGAATATCCCAACCAGTTCAATACTTAAAACTAAACTACATGAAGCCATACTTAAAACTAATGAAAATTAATAACTGAATGCTAAATGCAACACTAAAATAATAATTTCAGTAAATGACATAATAAAATGCTAACTAATCGAATACTAAATCAATAAATAAATGCATGAATTTACAAATTTATATATACATAGGACCATGGTCTTAGTATACTATTTACATTATATACAATATGATGGCCAAAGAAAGGGAAAATCTTGTCATAATGAATGAATTTAGGCTTAGAATTTGATGACTTACAGATCTGAACTACATCATTCAGCTTGTTTAAGACTTTTCAGAATGACTGTAATTAGGAAAAATCCCTTCCAACATATTGGATTCCATAACCATACCTTATTACCTACAATGAATCAATGTCCTGTGGCTCACATGTCATATTATGTCAAGATGGAATATTTATGGTGAAATGTTTGATTGTTGAAGTAAATATTCAATTTAGTAAGCAATAAATAAAAATCCCCTCCTCAAAAAAATCATTTGTTTCCTTTATTTTAATTTTTTAAAAGAAACAACAATGTTAGGATGCAAATAAACAAAAGCAAAATCTGCACATCGAGTGGAAGCTTGCATGGTTGATCTTTACATTATGGTAACTTGGCGTTTTTTTGGTGAAAATTTGGCGACCAACTCTCCTACAGCAACCCTCTATTTTTTTTTTTTCCCGCCGCTATTTTGTCTTCACGAAGTAAAGACATGTTTCTTTTCTTTTATCTACTGAACACTTCTTCCAACTCTACTAGCCGAATTACACTTATCTAGAATTTTATCAAACAAAACTATTTAATCAGGACAATATCACTGCAAATTGGGAAAAGTGGCACAATACCATACTCCCTTACGCGTTTTTCAAAAAACACATACACATAAACCATGTACACACGCCGACTTATTTTTACTTAAAAAACATCCCCAGAATTACACAAAATGGCATTGCGCACACTCTTCACTATATCCATGTACACTGCTTTTTTTTCCATAAATTAGAAAAATTTCACGAAAATACATGACAATTTCTGATCTTTAACCCCGTAAAAAACATACAGTCAAAGTCGTTAATTTGGACACCCATATTCGGAATGATCTATAATCCGGACCTCAAAACTAAAAACTTTCTGCGGCATGCGCCGCGTTGCACATGCGCATAGGCGTTTGCGCGTGCGCGTAAACCTTTTACGACTGCGCATATGAGTGCGCAAATGCAGAATTGTTTTCGCGGCGCATTTTATGTATAATGGGACGTATAAGCTAAAATTATCTAATTATCTATTTCGTTTAATGTTGATGATTGCGTTGTTCCTTAATTTTCGAATTGGATCCAGCTTATTATTTTTTTGCAGACTGTAAGAGCAATTTTATAAAGTAAGCTTAACTTTCGATTATATCAAATAGAATTTCCGATATATATTTGCTAATATGTAAAGGATCTAAAGCGAATGTATGTTTCGAAATCCGAAATCTGTTTATCAATTTCACGCAGTTCGGCGGGGGGAATGCCGCAGTCGGCGCACAATGATTTGGAAGTTGATCTCTCATCACTATCCTTATCTTCAAGGCAGATGTTTTTATTTTTTTTGGCTTGGCTATAATTGCCTAACTAAATGTAGTATTTCATCTCGATGCACTCCGTCTTTGATATGATTTAAAACAAGTTCCTCGTCATTATAATTCGCTTCCGATAGTCGAAGAAAGTAACAGAGGTTATTGAAAACGAAAAAATTTCGATTGACAAATTAGTCGGTGTTCTCGACACAGCAATTATAGGACTTGAACACGGAATTTTGTAACCTAACAAGAAATTATGTCTGTTTAATAGAATTAAAGAGAAAGTATTATCACATGAAACGAAGCAAAACTTAAACAACTACATTAAAAGAAATGTTTAAATAAAGTAAACAATAAATATTAAGCTTTTTCTTTTTGCAAATTTTGATACCCTTTAGATCATAATTGTTCTTTATTTCATAAATTACAGTTTCATATTTTTAATTTTAGAATTTCTGCATGCCATCTTACGAGATTTAAACTGATGATCTATAATCCGGAAAAATCGATAATCCGGAATCGCCGAAGTCCCGACGAGTCCGGATTAACGACTTTTGACTGTATATGAAATTACCTGATCGCGAAAAAGTTTATACCCTTTCCAAATATGAACATTTCCACATATAAAATAAATAAAATATCCAAAAACTTTTACCTCTAAATCATCTATTATATTATACACGTCACCAACGAATTCATACCAAGCATTACAAATACTTAGTGTCAAATATTTAAAATTATTTCCATGCACGTTTACTTCAACTTAAACGTATACCAAATTCCTACAAACATAAAATTCACAAAATAACTATCATTTAATTAAAATATCACTAAACCATGTAAACATCGACTTATTTTTACTTAAAAAAACATCCAGAATTGCACAAAAATGGCATTGCGCACACTCTTCACTATATCCATGTACATGCTTTTTTCTCATAATTAGAAAAATTTCACAAAAATACATGACAATATTCTGAATCTTTAAAAACCCGGTAAAAAACATATATGAAATTACCTGATCGCGAAAAAAGTTTATTTATACCCTTTCCAAATATGAACATTTCCCCGTATAAATAATAAAATATCCAAAACTTTTACCTCTACATTATCTATTATATTACAAACGTCACTAACAATAATTCATACCTTTACTCATTACAAATGGTTACAATACTTAGTGTCAAATATTTAATTTATTTCCATGCATGTTACCCAAATTACTTTACTTCCACCTTACATTTAGAACAATGCATAAAAATAATATCCTCAAATAATTAAAATATTAACTTACCTATTCTTCTTCAGAATCTTGATTACGTGTCCGATAAACTTTTCTTTTCTGTTCACGATCTTTAAAATCATACTTATAGTTCACACCAAGGTACCAGGTAAAATAAATAACTTAATACAACATCTTTACTTCTATCTCGCACAACCCTTAAAGAAACACTTTTACTACGCCTTTCAATCCCACTAATACCCATTTCGAATTCACTTTAGTTAGGGCCATGGATCCAAAATTAACGAACACTGTTTTCACACAACACAGAATAAAGGCAAATACAAAATTTCCAGATTTTTTCCCCCGATTTCCCCCCTTTTCCAATTAAAGAACCGTAATTCGTCCATTAATATCACATGACATATCACATGATCTCTCATTTCCCTCACACAAAATAATGCGTAATCGGAACTGAGTACTGCTCACATTATTACCAAAGTCCCAGGTAGTAACCTTTATCGCTTCCAAAATGTCGCCAAACTACCAGTTACCATATTGTAAAGATCAGCCACTTGCATTATTAACATGCTTACTTCCAAAGCTGATGAGGTGATTCTTGTACATAGGGTGTTCACACGTTTTTGTAACAATTTTGCAAAGATTTATATGTTAACAAAGCTTAGAATTTTATTTTCTAATATGTTTAGCCTGCTAGACATTTTGTTGAATTATCATATTACGTTTTGATTTCTAAGATAAAAGTCCTTTTTTTTTAAACATCAAGGTTGATTTTATTCCACTTCTTCACAAGCTTCCAGAGTGCATCCAGTGTTTTGGGCTGCCGCTTTCAAAGAGCATGTTTTAAAGTCCAAATTCACAGTAATCCACAGGAGACACATAAGGGGACTTGGGTGGGGTGCATTTAAATGGAAAAGCTTCCATTTCGGTTTCACTTCTCGTTTTTTTCAAAAAATAGAGCAGTAGATTTAGAGGTATGGCTTATGTTTGGATGAAGAGATGGAATTTCGTTTTTAAAAATAGGTGTTAAAACATACTTTTAATAGTAATCCGAATTAATTTTGAAAATTTTCTACTTTTCTTAGTTTAAGTTTTCTGTTATGAGAGAATTTAGTAATAAGGCATGAAATCCTTAGAAAAAGTTTTCTTTCTTCCTCCCCCCCCCAGTTTTGTTTTTTTCCTGTTTTCACTGACGCTACATATTAAGTCTTTTTCTCCTCTTTTTTGGTAGTAAATCGATCTTTTTCTATTGCAATCAGATAAATATATTCAAGCCTCATCAATTGTAACTATATATTTCCATTTTTCATATGCCATATAATTTTCATACAGCAAACTGCACAGTCTTACGCTTAGAAACTTGTTTCGGCATTAAGTGATGAATCCCAGTCAGATGTAAACTTTGATGTTTCTTTCCTTTCCTATAATTTATGTCACTTATTTTACGTGTAGAAAAATTAAAACCATGATTTTCAAATCTTTTTAATTGAATAAGAGTATTTCTCTTTTGATTGCGAAAAAATATAGCTTTTGATCCATTGTTTATTTTTCAGTGACATTTTAAAGAGAGAATATTTTTAAAGTTCTAGACAGTAACTAAGCCTTATTCCAATTCGATAGCAATCACATTTGTATTTTTAAATTAATATTTAAATTCCTGGAGAAAATCAGAATCATTACAAAAATGTGTAAGCACCCTCTGTAGATGACAGTGAATGTAATTACAATTTCCTTTTAACTGACATGAGCAAACTTATATTTTTAAGTGTTTACTTTCATATATTTATGATAAGTATGCAGCTTCCTTTAAATAAAAATATACAGTTTATAAATTACTACATTTTAATGCCACTATAAACATAATTACATAATTCATAAAAATATATGGTTTATAGATTATTATGCTTTTAATGACTTTTATTAATGTTATTAATTATATAGGATAGAATTTGTAAATTATAATTTATTTTTTAGGCATATGTTAAACAGAGAAGATTTGACTAATTCATTGATAATGATTCAACCTATTGTGTATGCATATTCCTTCAGTGGTCCTCCAGAAGTGAGTGTTTAAAGCATTTAATTTATTTATTTTTAATACATTTTGATCAATATGGTTAGATATTTTGAATTGGATATAATTACCCGTTAATTTTTTCTTAACAATATATTGTAATTAAAAAATTTTGTGAAATAACTTAATTCTTTAAATTTAAAAAAAAAAAAAAAAAAATTTTTTTTTATAAAAAAATGCAATGCAGATTTACATAGAAATAAAGTGAACAATAGCTTATTGTATGTAAATTGTGTTAATTGGGTATAAATTAATTAATGCTTAACATATTAAAATTTCTGAAATGTTCTTGACCCACCAGTGGCCGAGCAGTAAAGTCGCTAAACACTGGTAGTTCAGTCTGGGGCTTGAACTTTAGCAAACGGGCTGGCTGCTTGGGTATTTTCATGGTCTTCCTCATATGAAAAACGTGTATATGAGCCCATTTACCTTAGAAAAGCCTTCACAAAGGCATCCCTTCTCTTAGGCAGATAGCCCTCATGTGCTTGCATTACCTTCACTATGTATTTATTTACTTAGCTGTAATATGCAATGCACATCTAATGTAGGGATCTTGAATTTGTGTCCAGTTTCTATATATTTAAAAATAAGTGACCTTTTAAAACAAAATTATTTTTGGAAGTGCTGGAAAGTGTTTTAAAACTGTTTGAAATTCTATCTAAAATGAATTAATAAATGTTGTGAAGTTTTCTATTAAAAATTATTAAAGGGTATAAATTACACCCACATATTATACAATTAAATTAAACAATTAAAATTTTACCTGATGTAAAATTTTATTATGTAAAATTTATTTTTTATATATTTATACTTAATATAAATTTCTAGTTTTGCTATGTGTCTGTTTTTCTTTCTTTCTTTCTTTCTTTCTTTTTTTCCCCCTGTTCTGTCTCTGCTGGAGGAAAAGAGTGACCCTAAAATTTGGGAAAGCTATTTTATGTTTCTAATGAATGCAGTTTTAAAATGAAGTGAGCAAAAATAGCTAAAAATATATTTCAATAAAATTTTGCAGCCTGTGTTACTGGACACCAGCAGTATACAACCTGATCGAATTCTACTCATGGACACATTTTTTCATATAGTCATATTTCATGGAGAAGTAAGTTATAATATTAAGGAAGTTTTTAAGTATTACTGTAATCATGAGCATTTACACTCCTTAAATTAGCTTTCACTTCCAGTGAAGATTAGTATTCAAAGCATATATAATAAATTATCATTTAAAAGAAACTATTAGTGAATGAAATACATAGAATGAAATATATGAGCATTTTATCTAAGAAGCTTAGAAAAATTTATAAACTTTCAAGATTGTTGAACTTTCTTAATGAATATGACTCAATGTATTCAGTTGCTTAGAATAAAAATTATGTTCATTTTGAATACCTTATATCCAGGTGTACAAATATAAAGAGTGTGAACTACGAATGCGTAAAATGAAACAGGGGAACTTACAAAATGAAATTTTTTTAAAGTGTGCAACAATATTTAGTATATGTTGATAGAAACTTCTTTTACTAATTACAGTAATGCTTCAGATGTCCTTAAAATTATCATTTGAATATTTTATAAACTAAACTTTAAAACGATGTTTTTGCATTATATAAATTAGCTACACTAGTTAAAATAAAATAAAAAATTTAAAAAATATGTTTAGTAGTTTAAGTTGCCAGTAGTGTCTTAAATTAACTAAATGTAACATATTATTACCATTTTTATTGTTTCATTCTACAATTTTATATCAGTTTCAATGCTCTTAAATTTTTCTTTGTAATTAGGTTATATGTTGTATTATTCCATGCAAATTCATAAAATTACATAACTCTATTTAATAATATAATTTCTGAAAGATATATATTTAAAGAAATAATATACTTTTATATTTAAATACTTTTACTTTAAATAAATAGAAAATAATATACTTTTGTATTTAAATGCTTTTACTTTAAATAAATATAAAAGATCTTATTTTCTGCAAGGATCTAAATAAGAGTATCCATTTTTAAAAATATTCTTAATTTTTCTGTGTTACAAAAAATACTATCAAAATATATTCAACAGATTTTTATAAAGATATTAGGCTTTTTATAATCATGGGATTTATAGAGCTTGCTGTGTTACCATGCTTTGTAGTGAACTGAGAAAAAAATTTTAAAACTTTCCGACTCAAAGCAATGCAAGCAAACAAGACTTTAATTCAAAAAAAAAAAAAAAAAAAAAATCTTAAAGTCTTAATGTGGCATTCATTTTTTGTGAGCACTGAATATTTTAAACTGAAAGGGTTACGATGTTTAAATTTTAGGTTAAGTATTTATGGTGAGGCTTACAAATTCAAATTTTTCAGACTTATCTATTTTCCAAAGTGTCACTGAATGTAAAATGTCGATCTAAGAATAACTGAAATGTTCATACTGCAATTAAAAAAAAAAAATACTGAAAGCAATAAAAGTTTATTTTTCAAAATTCAAATGCATAATATTGATTCAAATTCTTGGTGCTTTATTACATCATGTAGACAATTGCACAATGGAGAAAAGCTGGCTATCAGAATTCTCCCGAGCACGAAAACTTCCGCCAACTACTACAAGCTCCTGTTGATGATGCTCAAGAGATCCTACAAACTAGGTTTCCTATGCCTAGGTATATTGATTGTGACCAAGGAGGCTCCCAGGTAAGCTTGAAAATATTTAATTCTAGTATTGTCATTCTGAATTCATTATTTTATTCTGTATTGCTTTCATATATGCACATTATTGAAGAAAGTTTCTCCTAAAAGGAAATATCAGATTGAAATGTTATCTGGAAAGAAGTTTGCAGTAAAAGATTATTAAAAAAATTAGAATGGTATGACAAATACTTATTGCACAGTTTAAGGTGTTATAACTCTATACAGGGAGCAACCATTATTTTTGCAATCAATAGAGGTCCCTAAAATAGTCTAGCATTAGATTATCATAAGCAGATTGGAATGTACTATTCTTGTAGCAGCAGTGTTGTTTTGGCAGAGCAGCTTATACCATCTCAGTGATTTTACATTAGGGACAAATCTAATGACAACATAGCCATGGTAGAATGTCTATGGCTGCAAGGCATGCTGTTGAGATGCCAGCAGCATGAGGATAAGCATTATAGTGTTGGAATAAAGCACTATGTGGACATTCAGAAAGGGCATAGTTATTGTTGGAGGATTTTATCAATGTACTATTGGGCTGCTAAAGTGGCAGACAAAGTTCTTATGCTGGTATGTTGTTCAGCTTGATTTGAAAAATCAGTTAATTAAGTTAGACTAATTCGAGTAAATGGATTTCAATTAAGTACAGGAAAAAATGTGCATAATTTAGTAGGCATCTAAGGAAGTCATGTGGTGTCCACTAAGATTTGTTTATGTTGTTAGTACTTAAATAATATCCATTTAAAAATTTAATACCATAGTTATATTTCCTTAATCTGTTGCATAAGAAATACTTTAGCATGGTTCTTTCTCATATTTTTCCGAATATGTAACATGAATACCAGCCAGTTTCCCTTAAAATGGCATTCCCTTTCTTTTTATGAAGTATAAATAAACTTTTATTAAATTTCTTATATCAGATTTCAGTGAAAAATGGTGTTTGAATATAGAAGGTGATTTCCTGTAACAGGTAGAGCAACTTTGCTTTAGCAGTAAATGATTTGTTTGTTACATATGCTGCAGTCTGTTTGTGTTAACATTAGCACTGTGTATATGATTTGATCGATCCATATTTTATTCATTTTTAATGTTACAGGAAATGATTAGTTTGTTAGAAATGCTGTGGTGGCCATTTGTATATTTAATCCAAACTGTGTTCTTTTTACAAAGTATAAGAAATGTTTACTTTTTTTGTGCACATCTTGAACACAAAATTTGATATCTTAACATCAAGTATCATAGGAAATAATCAGTCAATACGTGCAGTAGTCCTTTAGTAGTTACTATTGGCATGATGCATATTATTTGATCCAGTCCGTATTTCATTCTACAATTCTTGTATTATTTCTTTACTATTTTTTAAAAAATTCGGTGTCTGTTGTTATTATGTCTATGGATTAGTAGTGAGAAGACGATATGATTTGAAACATGATTCAAGGATCAGACCTCCTCAAAGGTCTGGACGACTGCAGCCTTTAGCTCCAGTGCTTCAAGTCCATACAGGATTTCGTGCAGTGGGTCAGTGAGTAGTACCATTCTGTGATGAAACCAAGCTCTCAAGGATGTGTCTTGGTGTCAGCTGGACTTTGGGGCAGTGTTTGCAGTTAATGTATGATAATGATTTGTCCTCATGAATTTTCATGAATTTCATAGTGATTTGTTCTTAATCTAGCTGTTATGGACATTATGTTTCTAGGGCAGTCAAAGTCTGTGACGAGTGGCTTCTCATAGTTCAGTGTCTATTATTTTAATATTGTTGCATGTGTTCATAGTATCACAGAGTACAATCAGTAGTTGCACTTCAAATTACTAAGAATGTTAAACATAATGCAATGTAAAGCACCTCTAAAGAGAAAGCTAAACTGGAGATATCTCAGTATTCCGAATTCACACTGAATTAACAGCTTACAACAACAAATGAGAGCAGTTATTCAATTACAGTACCTATTATGGTAATGCAAAGACCAAATCAAAATGCGATTTCTTACCAAATTTGACGACAGAGGTTAGTCGCCAAAACCATTAACAGCTTGGCGATATCTCACCAAATTACCGAGATACTTATTTACTCAATGTTTAATCGACTTGCCTCTGTATTCTGACTTTTCTGGCATAGCTCATCTCTCTAGATTTTTCGTGTTGCATTACACAGAAAAATACAACAGTTTCACATATAATTGCACAAAAATCATCTATCTAAGTACAAAATTCATAACAATAATTTAGTTTTGCATTCCGGTATAATATATATTAGATTTTGTATAAAAGAATGTTTACACATGTTATAATTCATTACCTGGTAAAACTCAATTTATGCTATGAAATGTTGTTTTATGTATGTGTCTTTTTATGTTTGGTGTTTGTGGTCTAAAATTTAAAATGCATCTGAATTTGTGTAGTTTTAAGTTTTATAGCAATTTTCTGTATGTTTGATTGCATTAAAAGATAATACAAACTTAAATTTATTAGTAAATGAAATTCATTTTGTGTTGTGAAATATTTATTGTTAAATGTATTTAATCTTTTCAGGCTCGATTCTTGCTATCTAAAGTTAATCCTTCAATTACACATAACAACATGTACAGTTGGGGACAGGTAATTCTTTTTTTCCCTCCTCTAAATAGTTAATAACCATTTTGCTATAGTTTTATTATTTTATCTTTTACACGAGTTTGCTATGTGCATTTTGCTTTTATTTGTTTGTGCACTGCAGATTGGTTTTTTTATTATATTGAATTTTCAATGAAAATATTTTGGATTTCAGTTTGAATGTTTATCATTGCATTTTTAAGATGTATAAATTAAAATTTCAATTTTAATATTTTGCATTGAGTAATTTTAGGTATTTAAGCTAAAGTTTTAGCTGAAATATTTTCTATCTGAGTTTTTTTAATATATTTAAATAAGATTATAAAAATTGTAAAAAATGTTTTTTTCCCATGTGTATTTTGCACATGTACTAAACTTGTTTACATTTTCTTTTCCATTATCACCACCTGCCATCAGATGCCTTCCAGTGCAACGGTACTTTTATTCTTATATTTGGTTTCTTTATTCTCTTGGTGATGGCATTTTACATTATTTTTGCTTTATAATTTTATTCATTCTACTATATATGAAATATACCAGTTTATTAGGGTTGTGTGTATATATAAATTGATATAAAGCTCAAACTTTCAGCAATTTTTTTATTATGTTTGGTTTCTTTCTTCTTTTCCTTGGTAATGGCTTATGTGTTATTTTACTTTGTAATTTTATTTATTTTAGGATGTATAAACACTTTCTAATTTATTGCAATTGTGGTTTTTTATATATTAGATTAATAAAAAATGCTCAGATCTTGAGTATTTGTTTTCGTCTTTCCCTTGATGATGGTTTTTATCTTGCTCTATAATTTTATTCCTTTTTCTCCCCATTCATATAATTATTAGATATAAAAGATTAGATTCATATTATTATTTGACCTTGCTACAAATTACTTAAGATTCTGATTATACATGTAAAGTATCTTTTTTTTATGGAATTTATTTGCTTGAATTTTATTTTGTTTAGTATTTTATTTATTGTCTTTCTTTTTGTATTATATTACTGAAAAGAGTTATATAAAAAAGAAAAGCGTGAAAGCTAAAAAAGAGTTTGAGATATTTACTGAAAAGTATTATTACCTTTTTACCAACTTTTTGGTTTGGGAAAGTGTCTTTTGCTTATAAAACACAGCTTAAGTTTTTTATTAGGAAAATGTGAATTGTGTATTGCATTTGAAAAAACAAAATTTGGTTAATTTCATTGTATTCAATGTTGTCTTTTAATCAATAATTCTTTAGTTGCTTCTTTCTTTCTTTCTCTTTTTTTTTTTTTTTAGCATTTATTTTTGGCTGTTCTTGCTATTCTTCTGGTATTATTAGTTCACCTAAAATCTCAGCTGCAGTTGATATAACTTGAATAAAATGTTGCTTTTTGTCATTTCTCTTGATTTTGAGTACAGATCTTTAAGTGATACAGTACATGTGTCTTATGAGAAGCATCAAAAACTAAGTTTCTGTAGGCCATCTACAGAACGTAAACATAATTATATGAAGAAAAAATTTATTGTAGCTGATACGGCAATTGCTCGACTACTTTTCAATATAATCCAAACTTTAATTAAGACATCTGTCATACCACGGAATGAATTTTTGTATCTCTGTGGTGTAGAATTTTGCCACTTAGTATGAAACAAATGTATGATAGCCTTCAATACTTTTGCATTTCTTTGAAAGTGTTGGCTAGATGAGAATTTCTTTTGGTAATTAAAGATTGTAATTACTGAAAATTATACAGCTGTTGTTCTAATACCTTCCAATAGAGCTTTGCCAGAAGATCTGTTGTGCGACAAGCTGCATCAGATTGAGCATTAGAGATCAGCTGTAATATCAATGCATTGACTTTGTTTTTTTCCTGGAATAAAGAGTGCAACCCATGTTTAATTGCTGGGGATGAGCTGGTTCTAAAACTAGTCAGCATCCGCATGATACTGCTACAGAAATGTCAGTTGCTTTGGTATCCATCTTATGCGTTGTTTCCAAAAAAACAGTTGTTTCATGCAGAGAGAAACAATACTTTATTGTAAAGGTCCATGAACTTCCGCAAGGTCATTCATACTCATCAGTGACCATCCACTACTTACCTGGTTCATGCATATTTTGTCAAGTTTCTGAATTCAGAAGTAACACACCAAGTCAAGTTCAGAAGTAACACACCAAGACCTTGATCATGATGCCTAACTCGTACCTGGAGCAAAGCTGACAGTGACTTTTGATTTGTACTGTGCTTTATATGTTCAAAAACTTAATCACAGGATAACCCTTTCATTTGGTAAGGGATGGAATCATCCCTACCTGTCGGGGAATGCATCTAACATACGACTGCCATGTCATGAACTTTTCAAGTAGGCACACTACCCTTCCATAACTTCATGACTTGTCGCACATGGATGTGAAGAAAACATTTCCTTTCTGGATGCCCCTTGTAGAAAATAATTTTCCTTGAAATTCATTCCAGTTTTATTCATACTGTATATGGCATTTTATATGCTAAAGGGCAAGCAATTTTTCTATTCCATTGTCAAATGTAATGTTTGTAAACAGTATTAATGCACATATTAACTTTTAAATTATTTTCTAATTGTATAGAATTTTAAAAAATAACTAACTGCATATGTTGATGTGGGTTACTTACTCTTATAGGAAGGTGCTGGTGCTCCTGTTCTGACAGATGATGTTAGTTTGCAAGTGTTTATGGATCATTTGAAAAAACTTGCTGTTTCTAGTTCGGCTTAAAAAGAAGATGAAAATGAACTGTGTTGATCAACTTTATTATAATTTTCAGCTTATTTTAGTTTAAGGAGGTATTTTAATGTTAAGAATGAAAAATGAATATTTTCTTCTTATTTGCATTTTTTATTGTCCAAGATGAATTGACATTTAAAAATCAAAACATAATTATTTTGCTTCTGAAAAAAAAGATGATTTTATATGAAGGTGTTAGAATCTATTAATTATTGAAGTAAAGGTTATGTGTTTAATAAGTATTTCAAACTTAAACAAAAATTATAACCTGTATTAAAATTGTAATTTTTTTTTTTTTTTTTTTTTTTTTCCTGCCTCACTTAATTTTTTTTTACCTACATGATTTGACTTTAGATTCAAGGATAAATCTGTTTTTCTCAAAAAAAAAAACAAAAAAAAAAAAAAAAAAAAAGAAAGAAAGAAAGAAAAGAAGAAGAAAAGTAAAAAATTAAAACTTCCTTTTTTCCAACAATATTCTTGTGCTGTTATAGATTTCCCCCCCTTTATTTTTGTTTTTGTGCTCTATATATATATGTATTAATGTGAAATATTGCAATTTAATATTTTGCAAAAGCATGTTTCTAAAAATATTAAAAATTATGTGTTGTAAATATTTAAGATATATTAAATATTTTTAGTACTCAGATTTATAGTCATATTTTTATGGTTTCAGTTCATTTAACTATTATAAAATCAAAAATTAAAATGCACAAATTAAAAAAAAAACCATTGTTATTTAGTTTTTACCACCAAATATTAATAATTTAAAAGATTTGCATTTGGGATATACCGGGTGGCCATAATTAAACTGACAGTGCTCACAGTGTTCTGTAGCGTGATCTATTTGCGAGAATGACGACACATTTTGTAGGAAGATTAATGGAGTATTCACAGTTCCATTCAGGTAAAAGTGGGCCTTGTCTCCCCATAAGATTTTCCACGGCCAAGCATCATCCACCTCCATTCTGGCAAGAAAGGTGAGAGCAAAAGTCAATCGCTTATTATGGTCGGGGTACAGTAACTCATGTACACGGCTGATCTTGTACAGGATAGAAAGTTGGTAATCTTTCGTAAGACTTTTCCATACCGTACTGTAAAGGCATATCCGTACTTCCGAGCTACTCCACGAGTACGCTAGAGGTGGCAGCAATATTGTCTTGGTCCTCTGTCGACAATCGCTCGTGGCAGCTGCTTCGATTGTATCCTGTGGTACAGGTATTTCGTCCTCTGCCTGACTGAACACTTCAGAGAACCTGTTTTCTCTCAAACGTTGCAACCATTGCTTTTAGCCCATTAACTGACACAGGACTGTTACCTTTACGCATTTTTTTACGCATTTTTTTACCCCCTTTTAAAAGCACGAAGAGCGGCTGACGCGTTGGACTGGTTGAGGTAAAAGAATTTGACCAGTAACGGCACGCTCAACTAAAGAAGGAGACATTGCACATAAACTTTTCAATCCGATTGATTCGAAACGTAACACATTGCCTTTTAAAATCCCAAGCAGCTAGCACTGTGCGAATGGATGTAACGTGAAGTTTGAATAAAGAACTTCTTCTGCTGCTCAGCGTACGTGATATTGCAGATCACGAGACTTTATCGGGGTTGTTTATGTAGATTTTACGCTTTTTTAAAAGTGTTGCCATATTGCACTTGAGCTAAATCAGAAAATATACATAATAAAAGGTAATTTTATTCCGTATTAATTTGCATTTGTTAAACTCTCTTTTTCTATTACAGAGCGCCAAATATTCCCCTAGCAGTGACTTTTGGAACTAATTTGTTTTTTCGCGGAATCCTTTTTCCCCCATCTTGTTTAATCTTCCTACAAAATGTGGCATCATTCTCGCAAATAGATCGCGCTACGGAACACTGTGAACACTGTCAGTTCAGTTTAATTATGGCCACCCGGTACATTCCTGAAAGCTTGAACTATTATTTGAATATTCATTGTTCAATGTGCAATATTATTTTCATCAATAATATATTCTCTAAAATATATTGTAAATATACATATTTACAGTGCCATAGTAATGGCCACCAAATAAAAATTGTAGTTGCCAGAGGTTCCAATGAGCAATTTACAAAATTCAGTCTAGTGTTGGCAGAATTGTATTAAATGTAATAAAAGTTCCTGCTGTGCCTCTTCTTAGCTAAATTATTAATTATTCAGTAAAATTGGCTGAGTAATACCTCTCTATTGTCTCTGTTCTGCTTAATATATCATATTTATATTCTGATAGATATTAAAACTTATAACAAAAATTATTATATAAAAACGGTCAGCATTCGTGTATGCAAATAATCTGTTAAATCATTTGAGTAAGTGCTTTTGTCAGTTGTAGGAAAATTATCTCAAAAGTACCCTCGGCTTTAATAATCAATTTCTTAATACTTTCCTGTCATCAGAATCTGTCCACTTCATTAATAATTATAAACTATAGCTGTAATTTTTTAAAATTTTTGGGTATAATATTTCACTGAAAATATTCATTTTGACCATTATCAAATACAATTTAATAATGTTTTTGCATTACATCTGTACGTAAAGACAGAATAAAGGGCTTTTTTCCCAAAACTGGTTGCAAAAAAGGTTTAAAATGGGTTCAGAAGGGATTTTTTTTTGTGACGTCTGTACATAGTTACGTGTGTACATATGTATCTCACATAACTCAAAAGCAAGTAGCCTCACAACATTGAAATTTTGTATATAGAACTGCTATAAAATGTAGTTGTGCACCTCCCTTTTTGGTTGCAATCGTGAACCAAAAATATATATATGTCCGCTCTGTTACTTGGCTCAATAGCTCCCTTTTTTATTCTTATGTGTTGGTAAATTGTGCAGTTTTTGCTTTAAAAATGAATTAATTATGCTATTCTTATCTTCCGGTTAAGGTTTTTATGCCTTTAGTTAATCTGCATGCGATAATTGTAGATTTATCAACAATTTAAAAGTTATTTTAAGGGCAGCTAAGCCTAATTTTTTTACCATCGCAGCCATATTTGTTTACATTTGAAACTTAGCAGAATAGTGAATTAAATCAGTTTCTGCACCTTCAGTGTCTTTTTGCTGGATGGGACCAAAAGTAAACTGTTAGTTTTGTACATCAAAAAAATCTACCTTCTTGCCCACTGTCCGAATTGCATGTTTTTACGTAGAAACTCTCACTTTAATTATAAAAATTGTTTTTTAATAGTTTTGACTGTATTTCAAGTGTTCTATTTTTCAATTTTTAATAAAGATATTTTGAGGTTTTATATATTTTTGCTATATCACAAAGTGAGAACTGAATTAATTGAATCAGAAATGTCTAATGGAATTCAAGGAAATAAAAATGAAAAAATTGAAATGCAGGAAAAATGCATATGATTTAATATTCCATACAAGGAAGTCATGTCACATTAGATTTTCATGATGAAGTTGTGCTGTGTACTTGATAAGACCACATAAGACAAGTATCAACCTGCCTAAATTTGGGAGAATTTTTCCTTCTTTTCTTTTTGAGAAATTGGGAAATTTTTTCATTGGCAAAAATAATTAAATGAGAAAAGCTATATAGAATTGATTTTATATATTATATTAACTTATAAGTATAGATATATATTATTTAGAATTGGAGGTAAAAAAATACTTTAATCTGTTTTATATAGCTGGTGTTATATTGGCAGATTCTTCAAGAAACAGGCTGCATAATGTTGTTCATATCAATTCCCACCTAGACCTATTTTTGCTAATGAAATGTTTTTATGTGATTGTGTGTTTAGGAACACTTATCCTTCTCCTTTGCAAAGCAGTGGCACTTGATACTCATTGGAGAAATAGAGCTAATGTTTTCAAATACATCTGCTCATACAAGCATAATAGTAGGGCATTACAACATATTTCATTGGTGAAAAGCCATGATTTTCTTTTATAAGAAATATTGGGGGATTAGTTTTCAGAAAATTTATTTTGGGCTTCAGATATTGAAATGTAAGCTGAGTTATATAATTTTTTTAAATCTCAGATTTATACTTATGTGTAATATGGATATGAGCCAGTTTCTCATAAAAAATTCTCCAAGAAGGCATTCCTTCTCTAAGACAGATGGCCTTTATGTGTATCCATAATCAAGTAAACCAAACACTGGAAATCGTGAAAAGTTTGATAATTGGAGAAAGCAAAAGTATGTTATATATTTGGTTGGCAGTACAAGCAAAATTGAACATCATTTGCATAAATTTATAGAATCGGCTCCTCTGGCATACTTTCGTGAAAGAACTTTTAAGGAAAAACTGCTCACACCTTGGGACTTTTAAAGTCAAAAATATATTAAGGCTTTATAAAAAGTGTAACAACTAATACAATGTAAGCACATTATTACTCTAAGTTTTACTACTCAAATCGAAGAATGGCTAGTCACTTCAGAACATATTAAAAGTTGTCAACAAGCAGTATGCATAGTGTTTTTTATCTCTATTTCACTCGCAAGTGTTTTTGCATTAAATGAAGGAATTAAATTGCAAAAATTAATTTTTCCTGAAAATCGGAACTTTTGTCTATAAGCCTAACAAAAAATGCAAGCTTTTCAGTAAAAAATAAATAAGCTTCTTACTATCTATAACATGTTTTCAGTCTTTGTTCACATGGAATAATCACCATGGAATTATTAGAAGCAGATTCTAATGTCTGGTGTGTAAAACATGGTATATCTGTGCAAAGATCAATATATTCTGAATATCAGAAAACAAATGCTTTATCTGCAAGTGATCAGCCGAATATCAGTTAATATTCCGTAATCAGTGTGAGCGCCAAACTTGGCAAGAGTTTTTGATTTGGTTGGGGTTTCTGGCTGTATATTTTCTTGTGGCAAACCTAGAGCTTTATTTCGGTAATTGTAAGACTGCAAATTTAGTGTAGCCAGAAGATTTCTTTTTTTAAATTTAATTTTGAAATACTGCATTTGTTTTTAAAAGTTTTTCTGTTACCACTATACAGTGGTGCCTCGCATAAAGAACACCTCGCACAGGGAACGCTGCACACAACAAACTTCATTTCATGATTCATACAATGAAACTTCGTTTCACACAACGAAGTCGCCCGAGCTTCCACGACTGCTTCGCCCGAGCTTCCACAACTGCTTCGCCCAAGCTTCCATGACTGCTTAGAGGTAGAGGAAGAGGATGTAGAGGAGCTTATTGAGGAACACGAAGAAGAGCTGACAACTGACGAGCTCCAAGCACTTCTGGTCCAGCAACAGGATAATGCTCAAAGGGAAGCATCATCTGATAACGAGGAGCAACAATCAACCAATCCCAACTGCTGACATCAAGAACATCCTGGTCAAATGGAAAGCAGTTCAGGAGTTTACCAATGCCCACTATCCGGATTCAGCTGAAGCAAACAGGATCAACGATCTTTACTCCGATACTCTTGTCCGTTATTTCCGGCAGATGTTGGAGAAAAGAGAAAAACAAACGACTTTGGACAGGTTTTTCATGAAATCATCGGCCAAAAAGCAGAAAATGGATGAAGATGTGAAAGATTCGGTAGACTTTACTTAATCTGTCTTAAAATTTAAAAATGTGTTTTTTTTTTTTTT